GCCAAGATCATAATAAGTGAGAATGTTAAACCAATATATCCATCTAAACCCTTTGAACATGCAAAAAATGATGTCCTATTCCAGTGTATTTACCAATTTAAATGTTCGTGTGGACATACATAGGGAGGATTCTTCGATAATTGCAAGTAAGGGCTTTAGAAGCAAGTAGAATCTCCAGAACCCATTAATGGTGACAACAAGCGACCTAGCTCCTTTATTGCGAAACATATTACAGAGACAGGACATAAAATTGATGTTCACACATCTTTTACACCTATCTATAGAACCTGTTTGGGGCATATCCTAAAGTTTATAAAAGCTCTAGCTGGCAGTTTGGAAGTTTAAACCACCTTTATACGTTCAAAGCAACAATTCGTCATCACACTTAATCTATCTTCCTTGGTAAACTTTGTTTTGATACTTACCAGGGTAGATGTCCTATTACCTCTCTAATTTAATTTAGTGATCACCATTGTTATTTTGACCTTAAATGTGTCCTTTTAACTGGACCTAAATTTATTTTCTCATCTCTTAACTCTTTATTAATTTCATATTTATATTCCTATGACAGGTCCGTGTGTGTGGTCAGGTTGTTCGAAATGTGTTGCGCAAATACATCACACACACACGATTCAGACAAATTACGTCTTCTTATTGTTTTGTCTAAATTCATAAAAGGAACTAAATGTTTTGAACAATTAAGAACCAAAACACAAAAATTAACACTAAGTACGTAATTTTTGTGTTTCTTTCTTTCTTCTCCCACCTCTATTAAATCTATTCAACCCCGCCGATTATATTGCGTCACTCAACTTACTTATTTAATTTTATTCCAGCTCCTACCCGATTAACGCTTTCTACATTACGTAATTTGTTATGTGAAACGAAATTTACAATTCTAATGGCACATCTTTAGGAATATTTCTTTTGTCGCTGAGAAAATTTGTTATATATATGCTACTGTACAGTTTGAGAATGATGTCGCCGAAAAAAGGAGCAACCCTTCGCTGAAAGCTTTTTCTTTTATATGACTCAATGGGGATTTTTAAGATGCCAAAGAGCATGGAACAGATTATTTCGTTTATATTTTAGGCTTTTCAACAGTCTACACTATCTCCTTTACAAAGAATCGAGACCGATGCTGTTCTTTTTAGCTGAAAGCTCTTTATCATTATGCTAAAGTCACATAATCCATGATTTCTACCTTCTGCCATTTTTGTCCACTTTTTAAGTGAGTACTTTTCTTCACAACCAGTTTAGTGAACTTCTTAGGTAAATGATATTCTCTTGGGTTCCTAGTGGGACTTAAGGCTTCAAAAGCACATCTCCATTTCATCCTCTGCCGTACAGTCCTCCTTAGGTGGCTCCACGACTGTCCACATGCTCTCATCTTCTCCTTACACGATCTCCTCCACCTTACCCTCAAGCATCCAACTAGTCGTTTCCTATTCGGGTTCCACTCACAGGCTCGTTTCGTGATGTCGGTCAAAGGTCCCTTCAGTGCGTTCCCTATCTATCGAGTTAATGGGGTTTTATCAACATGGGAATCGGTTAAGAGTGGCATTCCTCAGGGTACAATTCTAGGCCCACTTCTTTTCCTGATTTATGTCAATGAGAATCCATCGGTAGTTAAGTTGTCCTGCTTACTGTTTGCTGATGACATCAAGATATGGAGAGCTTTACACGATGACAGTGATCAACTTGCTTTGCAGGAAGATTTAAACTTGTTAAGTGATTGGTGTAAGCACTGGGCCTTGGCGAATAACTTAAGCAAGAGTGTAGTTATGCATGTATCTCATAGTCACGTGCACAAGTACTCAATGAATGGCATTACTCTCCCGGTGGTCACTGAGTACAAGGACTTGGGAGTGGTTGTGCAGCATGACTTGAAAACAGCAACAAACTGTAGAGCTGCAGCCACTAAGGGTTTTCGAATATTATGGGCCATACGCAAGGCTTTCGCGAATTTTGACGCTGAAATATTTCGGATATTATATTTGACTTATATCAGACCTCATTTGGAATATGGGATCCAGGCAGCGAGCCCGTGTTTCAAATACGAAATAGACTTATTAGAAAGGGTGCAAAGAGTAGGAACTAAGCTAATAAAGGGTTTCTCAACCCTCTCATATGAGGAAAGGTTAAGTCGACTGGGTTTATTTCCACTGTCATACAGACGACTTAGGGGTGACCTAATACTAGCATACCGTATCCTAAGAAATGATTTTGGAGCTAATTTATCTAATTTATTTCTTCCTTCCAGCATCAACCAATTGCGAGGACATCACCTGAAGGTTCAAAAACCACGGTTGAATCGTCTGCATCTGGAGATCCGTTTTTCGCATCGAATTGTGAACCATTGGAACTCCCTGTCGGAACACGTCGTATCAGTGCCATCCGTTGATTCATTCAAGGCGAGATTGGGCCTCCTGTGTGCAACAAATCGAAAGGACTAACACACTATCCTAAATAAATTGTAAACTGTAAACTATCTCTATTTTATTGTGGGAATTTTTCACTCCATAAGTTCTTGGCTGGTTTGTTGCAAGAGTTCTTTGTTGCCAATCCTTTCTGGCCATCTGACCTATTCACGAATGAGTAAAGAACTGACATTCATGCTGACTCATTCATCAATGTATTGAACTGTGATAATTATCCTGTTCTTTTTTATATCATAACTAGGTAATTTTCCTTGGTTCAAGTACAACTGCCATTCAACTCTCCATTACACATTCAAAAAGATTTCCACAAAGTGATAAAATAGCCACAAAGGCTGAAAAACCATATCACACCTTAGCACCCGTATGTTATTTACTGGAGAATATCAACCGACTTGTAATGACGATTATTTTTAATATCTAACTTTCTTACCCGTAGCGTTATGGCTTCGAGAAAAGTTGGTGCCGAACATCGGTTAGAGAACCATTGGAAAACCAACATGGGGTAGTGGATAGCTGTCTCATCCTAGTTTCGGATTCTTCCTTAGTACGCATCCATCATATGAGTTCGAACCGAGGACCTTCTGGTTACAATGCTAGCGACCAATGGCCGGCCCATGAATTCTAACTTCTGTCAGTTTACGAAATAGGGTGACCAATTCGCAGTGTCTTCTTTGATGAGTAACTGCCCTAACCTTTAACTTGCTGTTCACTACTGGTCACAGCTTCCCACGAGAACCCCAGATGATTGCCTAAAAATCATCCAACCAGTCAAACAAAATCCCTACAAAAACCAATACTTTAAACCAGTCTTTTTGCTATATATATCCAAACCAAGTTCACTTTTAACAGTTTGAAAAAATTTGGGCATTGGGTATATGATATTCATTATAATAAAGGTTTTTGTTTTTCCCAATGAATGAAAAATATGGTTTTGTTTTTCATTCATTGGGAAATACAAAAACCTTTATTATAATGAATAGTCTTTTTGCTGTCTTTAGAGCGTTTCTTGACTGAATGTCTCAAGAAATTTAAATCCGCTATACGGCAGAATGCGGCTGGAATCGGTTTCCTACCCATTTTTTGGTCGAAACAAAAATTACTCCGTTTGATTAATGCATACTTTTATAGTAAGATCAACATCTAACCAACATGTTTTTGATATATTTTAAGGATCAGAAAGATACTACTGAAATGAAATGAGTAGCTTGTATGCTCTGAACTGACGATGCGGCTGTCTGTGACAACTCTGGCTTGGTAAACTTGTATTAAAGTAATGGGTGTGAAACGAAAATGTGATTTACTGTGCCATTCTAACTTTCAGTTTTTGATGTCAACAAGCTAAGGTACCAAATGACCTACAGATCATTCTTATTTCAACGCCAGTCATCACTCCGAGTGGACCAAGGAGCTAGACGCAAGCTCTGGTCCATGGTGTGTGCGTGGGTTCGTATCCCACCTCCGACATACGCTTTTATGGAGGTCGGGTGGCACAGCGGCAGAATGCTCGCCAACTTCGCCGCATGTGGTCCGGGATTCGATCTCCAACCGTCACACTCCTTTACCTCGCTAAACCAGTACCAAGACTGGTAAAAGGGAAGGTTGGGCATGAGGCTAGCAACCCCATCCCGTAAAAATAAACACCACTGCTACCGAAACCTCAAGCCTCTAGCTTGAAGGTGCCCTATGTTTCAATGGGAACGTAAAGGAATAAAATTATAATTAAAAAAAGATTCATCACTGCGTGTATACAGTCTCTCTAAGAAATTTGAAGCACAGGTAGCATAAACACATATTAACAGTCTACTTTGCTTCAAACAGTTATTATATTATGTATCGCTTTTGTATGCAGAGGTCCGGTTTCAGATCTCGAATACCTAATGCTTCAGCTATGTACAGATGGCGAATCCGAAGTCCATTTGTACGATATTGAGGGACTCTGTGTAACACTGTGAAGCATTCATGTGGGGGTGCTCGATGTTCAGAGATGACAAGGTGTTCGAGGATCGAGCTGTTGCTATTCTTCTTTCCTCCTCTGGCCAACCAAGCTGCGCAGTGTTCCAGAATACGTTTTTGGACTTGACGTTGCGTACGGCCAATATACTTTGCTCCACACGACCTCAATGTGTATTTATCAATTTACTTGCTCGTGTGGAGCAAAGTATATTGGCCGTACGCAACGTCAAGTCCAAAAACGTATTCTGGAACACTGCCCAGCTTGGTTGGCCAGAGGAGAAAAGAAGAATAGCAACAGCTCGATCCTCGAACACCTTGTCATCTCTGGACATCGAGCACCCCCACATGAATGCTTCACAGTGTTACACAGAGTCCCTCAATATCGTACAAATGGACTTCGGATTTGCCATCTGTACATAGCTGAAGCATTAGCTATTCGGGATTTGAAACCGGACCTCTGCATACAAAAGCGATACATACATTCTCTTGCCTTACCATGGCCAGCGTAAAGTTCTTATCACAATTTTGCTTCCTTCCTTTATTATATTTCGAGTTATTATACTACTCTATTATTATCATTATTAGGGTAAAAGTTTTATAACTTACAGAAGTCATCTGTCCAAGTCCCCATCTATAACAGGTAGGCTGGCTACATGCTTCCCGGTCAATAGGCTCCTCGATCAACTCTCCAAGTATACTTGCTTTACGACAAAATTCCATATTTAACTTCTTTCCGTGGATCATATATTCTGATGTTAATTGTTCAGATTCCACATACTCATTAAGAGATGGATGATAATCCTCATTACTGTCCAGAATAACACAAGAGACATTACGATAGTGGACACCGATTATTTTATTCACTGAACTCTGTTGATCAGTATCACTGTCAATCAGTCGACATGATGATTTCATTTTCTCATCTAACGGTTCACATTCTGACCATTCACTTGTAAACCAGACTATATCATTTCGACAGTCCGTCAAAGAGAAGCAGTCGATCGATTCTTCGATGAATAAATTATACTCAGTAGAAGGTGATCTCTCTTGATACTCTTCAATCATCTTGATTGCTGACTGTGTAGTGATAGCCTGTCGTGGAGCATTTGACTGATTCAGTGAAGACTCACTGTACGTTAAACATTCACTAAGCGGCCAATTCTGTCCTATTTGATCTTGACAGTGAAGAGATCGTTTGCGTTTTCCATTACCACAAGAGTTTGTGCACTAGGGAAATGGATTGGTTGAAATATTTTACAAATGATTATAGTGATATTGATTAGAATAAATGAGCAGAAATGTTATTTTAGTTTTGATAAAGAAAGGAAGACGAAATTTACAGTATAAAATGTGATATCATCATTCTATTTCACAGGCTATCATCAGCTGCAGGCTACCTGAAGTTACAATGGTCATATATAGATGATAATAACATACTTTAATGTTTGAGTGATAGTAGAGAAGAAATGCTATAAAATTGACGCATCCAAAATGAAAGCATTGCAATTTTTACTTTAAGTTTTCAGCTTTAATTTATCCGCTTTCAAAGGAGAAAAGAGGGGGGAGGGTGAGACAGAAAACAGAAAAAATTAACAAACAGAACAGTGTTTGCTTGTAGGTTCACATAGCAACTCAAAAAACAAAAGCGGTTACAGTTTATAAGATTGAGATTTGTTCAGTGAGTTGAGATCAATGAATTAGATGACTAATTAATGTAATCAAAATCAAAATTCAGTTACCAAGGTAGTGAGAGGTTAATCACACTCACTTTCTGTATGCATAAGTCTGGTTGGTTTGAATCGTTTGATTGCGATCACTTCTGCAAATCGTAGTAAATTTGCTGTCCTTTGCCTATTTGATGTTATGAAGGACTTAGAAATCTCTACGAGATGACCAGTATCAACAATATGTCTGGTAATTGCACTGTGAGAATATTTGTTTCCTTTCAGGCACAAGTTTTTTGGAATATGTTCGGGAAACCGGATGGAAGCCCTTCTTTCCGGCCTTCCAATGTACTTGCTCCCGCAAGTGCACGTAAATTAATAAACGCAGTTCGAGGGTATTTCTCCAGTTTTGAGTGGCTTATAGAAGAAGTGGTGCTGTATAATGTAATGAGTTTTGCTGCCGGGGAGCTTCTTTTTATTGCAACTTTCAGTCTTTTGTCAATCTTTTGTGACATTGCATCTCCTTTGAATGAAAGATAAATAAACACTTTCTTCTTTTCCACAGTTGGGTGTTTTTCTTTCTTATCTTTTTCTCTGCTATACTTCTGTATAAATCCCTTAGGGTATCCATTTTCTCTTAGGCATTTCTTGACGAAATCTAGTTCTTCTTCGACCTTTTTTAGTGAACATAGCTTCCTGGCTCTGTCGTACAAAGTCCTCACTAATCCTCTACTACCACTCAAACATTAAAGTATGTTATTATTATCTATATAACCATTGTAATTTCAGGTAGTCTGCAGCTGATGAAAATCTGTGAAATAGAATGATGATAATATCATTATATACTGCAAATTTCGTCTTCCTTTTTTTATCAAAATTTATCAAGGGAACCAAATGAATGAGGTTATTCAAGTGTTTCAATTCGTTGAAAAATATCCTTTACATTTGAATTCTTAGGTTTTGGAAAGTATCGTCTTGAAAATCAAGAGATGTTTGTTTCACCACAAGGAATCTTCTCTCACCGGAAATACTTGCTGGAGAAGCATCTCTTAATATACAGTTTACAACTCAGATATTGTCCCGATTTTTGCGTGATACTCAGCGGGTAGTTTCGTTGATATGTTACTTACTATTTGTACTTTCCAAATAAATTAATATGACAAGGCAGACGATGATGGTATGCACATACTACTGATTTATGTGAGTAGTTGTGAATCACTTGAGTAAATCAGTAGTTCTAGTTATTTCACACAATAAGAAGACGTCGTTTATCTGAAACATTTAATATGCATATTTGCACAACACATTTCGGACATTCTGATCACACACACGAGTACTTGTCATACACAGGTATATAGAAGGCAAGAAGGCATGTATCATTACAATAGAGGTCAAATTGTGTACCGGTCAAGTTGACAAATAATGGGTAGAGAGATGAGGCAAAGGTGTGGGTAATAAAGACAGAAAGGAAGCCGGTAACGAGGTCCATGCTATCCTGTAAACCCTTACGGCATCTGAACGACAGTGTCACATCCCACTGTGTTGATCAATTTACATGTATATGTGGACATACGTACTTAGGGAGGACCCATCAGTCTCTACGGCTTTGGACTATAGCACATATTCCAAAGTAACTGCAACAACAAATAAAAACGCGAGATACAGTTGATTCTGGAAGTAGATGTCCAAAATCATCTATAGCGAAGCACATTATAGAGACGGGTTATAAGGTTGATTTCAACAATGCCTTTAAGCTAGTATATAAAACAAGGGTGGGTCATGTACTTAAATTCGTTGATACCCTGGCCATAAAAAGGCTTAAACGTGTCTGATGTGACCAAAAGTTATTTGTTATTACTTTAAACCTGCCTTAGTAATCCAATTTAGAATCAAGGTTCAATTTACTTCATGATATTTTCGACTCCTTCTTTGTTTTTCTTCTTTCTTTCTCAGCCACACCTTAGTGTCACCTCCCTACCCATTACTTGCGACCTTGACCTGCACACAATTTGATCTATATTGTAATAACTCATGCCTTCTTGCCTTCTATATAACTGCGTGTGATAAGTGCGAGAGTGAACAGAATGTTCGACTTAAGTCAATGCAAGAACAGGCGCGGAATTATGCTCCTGTCCATCCCAAGCAAAATACTTAGCCGCATCATCTTGGAGAGACTCATACACGCCACCCTGGTTAAAAAACTTCGATCGGAACAGACTGGATTCAGGAGAAACAAGTCATGCATCGATCAAATCGCAACACTACGGATCATCATTGAACAGAGCTTGGAATGCAGTCAGTCAGCTCTCTATCTCAACTTCATTGCCTTTGAAAAGGTCTTCAGCAGACAGCGTCGATCTAGAGGTGATTTGGGAACTACTTCGCTACTACTTTATTTATTTATTTAAACGCATTAAAACTTGGTACAATATGGCACCAAGAAGGATGCGCCACACAATAATAATAAAACAACACAGGTGAAAAAAAAGGAAGGAAGGCAGGAAAAGAAAAAATATATATAAGTAGAGAACGAATAATGAACTTCATCTGGAAGGAAAACACTCATTCTTAACAGGTTCAAACAGTGTTCGTTAACTATCATCGGGAATGGAAGAAAGAAGGAAATCGCAACACATTCGCCATTGATTACGATTCTTGGCCATATCCGATAACGTTTCGAGTCATCGATTTGAGCTATCTCTCAGACCCCAACCAGGGAGTCGTGACACACCAACCGATGCTAATCTAGCACAGAAATCCTTCATCCCACGACGCCACGTCATGGGCTGACCACCTCTCCTCCTTTTCCAACCCGTCCCAGGGCTAGCGAACAGAGACCTGTACGGAAGCCTCTGGGGTGACATTCGCAGCACATGTCCAAGCCACCGGAGCCGGTGTTTCCAGATGACGACATTCAATGAATGGTGATCTCCACTGTGTTCAAACACACGCCGCCGAACCTGAGAATTACTCACGCGATGATGCCATCGAACGCAAGCAATCCTGCGGAGACAGCGGTGATCGAACACGCAGAGTCGCCTCACATCCTCAGCTCGGAGAGGCCACTACGGAGAGGCTACTACGGGATGCCGCCAAAAATTATACACCTCATCCAACAGTTGTATGATAAAGCTGCACGCTAAGTAATCCACAACGGGAATCGTTGAAAGTGAAGACGGGAGTAAGACAAGCTCGCTGGCTGTCTACTATCTCCAATGATTTTCCAGATTGCGGTAGACTGGATAATGCAACAGACAGCGGGGAACGAGGAAACACATAAAATGGACCCACACAAAAATCTTGGAGGATAAGGACTTCGCCGATGATGTATGTCTGATTTCCCACAAACTGGAAGATATGCAAGCGAAAAGCAACAAATTGGCAGAAGAAGCATCCAGAGAAGATAGGAATTCAGGTGAACATAGAGAAAACAGAGGTGATGAAAATTCCTGGCAGCGAGGAACAGCAACAACAACAAACAACGATCAGCATAAATAGGAGAAATCTGAAAGAGGCAACCTCCCCCACCTACCTACCTACCTACCTGGGAAGCATCGTTTTAACTACTAAAGGGAACAATAATAATAATAATAATATCCGAAATTTGTTGTGCAAATATGCACATTACACATTTCAGATAAACTATATCTTCTTATTGTGTTGTCGAAATTCATAAAGCGAACTAATTGTTCAAAGTGATTGAAGCCTCAAAAGTCTATCTCTTTTGAGCTTATCAGCACTGTGCCTGGAGGGCTTACAAGACCCAATTCTGTCTACTTACTTGATCCATCTCATAATATAAAGAATCAAGTTCCAAAGGAAACCACATTAAATTTTCTCCTTGAACTCTTTAATTCTGCAAACAACGAATCTGATTCGTAGGTAAGATGTTAACGTAACATGCATAATAAGCCTGATTATCTAGGATAATACTTGTCTTAATAATCCTATTTACATACTGGTAAAAATTAAATGCTGCTGTAGCGGTAGGTAATTCCCCAGAATTATTGACCCCAGCATTGATCACTGAACATTGGATGCCGACCTTCACTGTTTAAATCAACTTGTTTAGCTGAAGACTTCCTGTCAGGTGTCCACGCCATTTGGTACGCAGTTGTGTCACGTTCGTCCGTTTGTGCACGATCCCTAGCTAGCTAAGCAATCATCTTGCACTCCGATTTGTCCCGATGTACATCTCGTAATTTGGACGATCAATTCTTGTGTTTTGCTTCGCCTTTGGTCTACGCGGAACGAATACTATAGTTGTTGATATTAGATCTTGCGTTAATATACTTCGTACTATCTGTGAACGTCAATACCTTTAGCCTCTAAACTACCGTTAACATTTATTTATTTCTGACCAGGGGTTTTCTTGTAATACCTAAGTTCGTAGAAAATAATTCATCTGCTCACAAAACGACAATTTAACAATAGAGTAATAATCTAAAGATATGAAGGTGATCGATTCGCCTTTAAAAGCTTTCTTGACTGAAGCTCACTTAGTAAAAATGTGCCATTGAAATTCTCCTCTTCTTGAGTATGTTTAAATTTTTTTGATTATAGCTTGGTTCCACACCGTATTTTCGGTACAAGTATGGTATTTTTAGCATGTGATATCGGTAGCCCAATTTTGCAGGCCGACCATTTATATCAGGTGTGCGTCGGTAGGGGATCGAACCTCGGACCATGTGCAACTAATCCCATCATGTAGACGTCACATTTGAATATCATGTAAACTATCAGCTGCATAAAGCAAGGACGAAGCTTTAGGATGTAATGTAGGTGAGGTCTTACAATCTCCAAATACAGATGGTACAAACTTGTTTTTGCAGAGGTTAGATATACAGATTTATATTGATACCGGTAAAAATTCATTGGCCACCTTAGCTCTCTTGGCACAGTTTGCCGTCTACCAAGCAATTAACAGTTTTAAGAATGATGGAAAACATTTGTAAATCAGGTAGGTGTTTTTGGTTTTGTTTTAGTCCTCTGACCTGAATGACTTAACTGAGAAGCTCTCGTTGTCTTACAGTCGATAGGTCTCTGATTCAAGTCCCATTCCACCAAACTAAGCCTGAGCTATTGGAAAATATCATTAGCCTTCACATAGTGAGTGCGGTTCATAGTCTGGTTCATGTACAATCTGTCCCGGGTAGCTGACTTCAAACAACTTCTGCGACCAGCTGTCACCGGGTTACACTACACACTGGTGATGTAGAATGATCACTGAATGCCACTCCCGCTCTACCGATCAAAAAACGAACCAGTCACCTATCAGTAATGTGAAACTTTAGCATCACAATCCTTGAAGTGCTTTAAATATGCTTTAAGACTAATATTGGTTTGCTGAGGATATATTTCCTTTCTATCTTAGGCAGCAAAAATAACTGAAATATTCATTTTCCTAATTCAAAAGTACCAAACTATATTTTTGAGAATACTTACTTTTGTCCAATTTGACAGTATCCAATATACTGGATAACATGAACCCTGACAGGCAACATAGGCTGGTTGCGATGGAGCACTTCCCAAACCAGCTTTCTGGCATACAAATTCTCCTAGTTGAGCAACTCGCCAAGTTCCCTTTGATTTATCTTTTTCTCCCGCAGGTACAATATATTCTTCACAGACATAGATAACAGCTTGGTGACCTTCACCACATCGTGCTGAGCAGCTACTTGTTTGCATTTCATAGGCATCATTTGATGATTTTGCTATTGGTGCTGGCTTGGCTGTCCATCGAACACCACAATAGTCGGAACATCGTCTAAGCACTGGTGGAGGCCTTGGTACAGATGAACACAAGTAGTCAGCTACTGGTGTGAATAGATCAAACTCTGAGAATTGACTCTGATCAGACTCTTTAGGAACTAATGGATAGCATTCTGCATGCGTGGTAGCATTTCCTAAGAAATCGTAAAATCAATATATATAATTAATTAGGGAAATCTTTTGCAAAATAAGTGTTTTCTCTAGATTTTAAACTTTGTAATGATTTGTAATGTTTTTATAAAGCAACCCAGTAAGCCAATCTCCACAACAAAAGCAATAGAAAAAACTCACTTACTGTTTCACTGGAAAGCCACATGCAACACATTCTTAGGTTGGCTCATCGCGCTTAACTGCAAACTGAAGAAAGCTGATGTAGATTACTCTAATGTCGTCAGAAAACTGTCTTATTCAAAATTTAGTCAGACAATCAGTTGTAGTCAATTTATCCCACCTATCTAAATTATATATCATATGAATTATCTTAATCGTGATTGGTTTCAGAAGTTTTGAGCGTCCTAAAATAAACAGTTAAGGTTTCCACGATTGTTAAGTGACAGTGAACAATTAGTTCATGCGATGATTTTGTAGCTTGCACATTCGCTTTCTCACAACGCGGTTTTTAATACAAGTGCCATTTAGAAAAGTGCTTGCCTGATAATCGTAAAAAACCTTCTAAATACCACAAGGTGTGGATTATTGTTTTATTACACTATGTAATTCTATTAATGTAACCTTTAACAAGAAATAGTTCCGAAACTTTCTTACTCATTTGCCGTTATTACGCGAATTTTCAGCCTAGTTGATGACTTCGTCGAAAAGAAAATTTTCTTCGCCACAACCATCTATTTAATAATTCGCATGATCCAATGTGTTTATTCCATAATTTGAAGAATAGCAAGGATCGTTCTACGATGAAGGGGCTGAACAAGTTTCTACGTTTATTGGTCAAGCGCGCTGAGGCTAAATATTTCCTCCTGGAAGAATTGTCTGGATAAACAAGAATATCCCAAAGCATAATGTAAGCATATGAGATGAAATCAGATATCCCCTAATTCACGTACACTGAAACGACATACTCTGAATCACATTGATGCTGTATGATCAAGACAATCTGAAGTGGAGCTGAATATCTTAAAAAACTACCATGTTCTCTACGAGTTATTTGAAGATGAACGAACATCATTCGAGAACTACTCTAATACTGTTACAAAGAAAAGAACAGATGATGTCATTATGAAACTAAACCAAAGATTACAGTCTGTTACTAGGGTGACAGTTTTTCCTACTTGTCCAGAAAAATACGTGTTCAAATATCCTGATGTCTCACCATCGCCAATTCAAATGCAAATCTTAGCACTTGGACCTAAGTTTTGTGATACAACGTCAAAAGTGAATGACCTGAACATGAAAGTTCAATTTGACAACGTAATAAGTCAGACGAATAATCTGATCCTAATCTCATGTGACAGAGCAGGTCATTTCAAGTCAGCACTTTTGAATGGGTGCTTCGATTACATTAACAAAACCCCAGCTTTCATAGTATACTTTCCAAAGGACATCGAAAGCATCTGAAACAATTGAAGGATAATGAAAACTTGATCATGACACTGTCAGCTAAAGGTTTTGTTACTGTCCTGCTGAACACGTCAGACTATTTAAGTAAACTCTTGCTGATACTATCTGCTGATAAGAAATTCCAAAAACAGTCTCTCAAGAAAGATTTCACTGAAAAGATGGAGCTCCAGCTGACAAAAATATTGAAGGAAATGAAGGACGAATCCATTATTAGTACAAAACTACAGGAACAACTACCTCCATCTGGTTCTACAACGCCGCGCATATGCGGCTTACCTAAAGCCCACACACAAGACATCCCACTCCTCCCAGTCCTAGATGTGATAGATTCTCCATATCAATCAGTGGCGAAGTGGCTTGTAGAGATTCTTGGTTCAGTGAAAGGAAAGCTGTCAAGACACAACCTCCAGGACAAATTCGATTTTTTCATTAAATGAAAAATGTCAGCTTGGCAGATAAGAGAATGGTCTCCCCGGATATCGCCTATCTCTCTGTCTCTCTCTACTGACATTCCACTGACAGAAACCATATGCTTCCTTTTTGACTTCATTTAATCCAGTAGCATCGATGTCGGTATACCAATCCATTGTCTAAAAGAGCTGTTACTACAGTGCATCTTCAACATCTGCTTCTGATTTAACAATGAAATATACAGGCAAATAGACGGAGTAGCAATGGATTCTCCTCTAGGACCCTTCTTGGCCAACTTATTATTATTTTATTCTGTGTAGTGTTGTAATTGTTCCAAGTGTAACATACAACGCAAATAGAGGTTTTCATTTGCATAAGAAGTTTAACAAGGTTAATTTCAGCTCTGCTACATTTGCAAGTTAGTTCTGTTTGGTAAGTTGTGGATAAAATGAACATGTGGACAAAACATTAGTGGAACAAGTACAGTAGTGCCTCATATTAGATTTGTAATCTTTTGTAACATATATATATATATGTATATACTTCGATTGAACACTATTAGCTAGTGTGATGTGGCTAGTCCTTTCTTTGATGCAGACTGAATTTTATCAGTCAGGTTTGCCAACTAGCACGAAACCGAGGTCCAAGGCTTCCTGCCGATTGCCTCCAACCATCTAATATCGTCAAATCAATGTGCACCGTGATGGCGAGCTACCTAGAATGGTGGCGACATTGCAAACTTGACTGATAGAATTCAGTCTGCGCCGAAAACAGGACTAGACACATCACACTAGTTACTAACTGGTGTCTAAGCAAAGTATCCTTGTACAGTCCTACAGGAGGTCAATCGCGAGCCTGAACAGCTCAGTGGTAACGTCTCTGACTGCAGCACTGGGTGACGCTGATTCTAATCTCAGAAGGGATATGAGTTCCTTCAAGAATGCAGATACGCCTTACTGACTGATGAGTGCCAACTAGCACGAAACCTAGGCTCAAACAGGGTTTCCTGTGGTCGATTGTCTCCAACCATTTAATATATATAAAGATCTGCTTTGTTCTTAAATCAGGATTTATAATACAGAATGGAATTTCCAGCATTTTTCACAATAGTGCATCTAATTTTTCAGAAGGTAAATAAAGGTAACCACATGAACTTTTTCACAATACACAGGGACTGGTGTGAAAATTGTGCAAAGCATAAAATGAGAATAGTGATTATACTACTACTAATAATAGTAATAATAACAGGAGGTTTGTTTCAAATACTATTGTCGATACAGTATGGAAATAATAGCATGTTATAGAATGTTGAATGTAATTGTCTCTTGACATAGAATGGTGAAGGGAAAAACAATTATAATTATTACAGAGCTTAAATGGCCTTAACAATTATGAAAAAAATGAAATGACCATTAATATAAGAGGGATAATAACAGTAGAACTTGTTGGTACAAGAATGGGGACAACTGTTTATTTACTAGTGGAAAGAAGGTTATTTAGTTCGTGCATCACTCGCAAAAAAAATTGTTGAAGAAGCAGGCAGCGAAGAAAGGACTTCATGTAAACGTATAGAAAACAAAGGCAACAGGTACCAGTCACTATCAGTGGGAGACATTTGAAAGAGGTCAATTGAATCATCTGGGTAGCAGCCTTTCAACTACAGCTGACTCCATGGATAAAGATGTCAGAGCCAATCAGGATAGGAAAGGTAACACAGGCATTCGTCACTCTGAAATAAGCTTGAAAATCTTCTCAACTCAGCATTAACGACAAAATTCGTATTTTCATCACCAATGTTAAGTTAGTTGTTCCAAAGGTTTAAGAAACTTGGCGAGTCAAGAAAAGAATTTCCAACATGTCACAGCAGACTTCTAACAACAATTGAGTTTCCGGCTCCACAGTGAAGGTAAGATGGCTGGTCAGAAAGAATTAGCAAGGAGAAACTTTGTGAACGAACCACGTGGAAACCTAGTGCTGAAGGAATATGTCGAAAGAAATGAGATGGATAGAACAAACTCTTTGGAGACAGTTGGATGACACAGCGCACCAAGCCATCACTCGAGCGGAACCCGAACAGGAAACGGCAAGTTGGGTGAGTGTCGTAGGGTGATATGGAGGAGATCATGCAAGGAGAAGATGAGAAACTATGGAGAATCGTAGGGCAGCCAAATAAGACATCAGAGAAACCGATAAAGTGTATATGTGCTGTTGAAGCCTTTGTTCCACTCTGAAGCAAAAGGAATAACAATAATACAATTTTACTAATGGTATGAACTTGTGAAAGATTTCTTCGAATCGTCAGAGAATGGTAATTCATTAAGAAGGAGGAAAATAGCATGAAACTATTGAGGAAATTAAAAGATTTCATCTTAGGAGTTGACGGTATATATGTACATATATAATCGATGATTACCTGCACAAGTGGTACAACCAACTGGTAGTTCACTAATCCTCCAAACGAAGTATATTTGTGGTTTCTCTTGTTGTGCTTGGTGACGTTCTACTTCACTTGCAACAGTGTTCTGGATAGGTGTTATTCTTTCAGACTCTTCAAATGATGCGAAAGCATTCTGAGATCTTCCAGTACGACGATTTACTCTTTCTGCAGCCAACTGAGCTTCTTTTTCAGCAACAAAGTACAGCGAATTATTTTGTTGAGATTTGTCGACAAAATAACTGTATTCCACTGTTGGGAAGGATTGTGTTGTATGCGTGTTTTCTACACGAATCTGTAAGAAAATGTGTAATAGTAACATTTAGCGACTCAGAGTATTTCATAATTTAAAATCTAATAAAATTTCGTGACTTCATTATTAGCTGATATTGGTTGGAGAAATATGGGAAAAGCAACTAGGAGTACCGGACGGCTGCTTCGTCCTAGTTTGGGACTGTTCATCAGGATGCACCCGTTGGAGTTTGAACTCAGGACCTTGGGGTTACAATGCTCAATAGAGACTGGCCCCATTCATGTAAGTAGTTACCCTGGTTCTGGTAAGGAGTCGTAACCAGTGGGTTACAGCAGGTAGGGTGTGAGGGCAGATACTCTCGGATGACTTTGGCCAGTGGTAGTGCCATATCATGAATTGGCAGAAGTTGGAATTCATTTACTGGCCATTGCATAGGGTCCCACTAGCTGAACAGTTAGTCTGCGACCTCACCTTGTAGACGGTAGGTCCTGGGTTTGAACCCCGGTGGGTACGTACTGATGCGGAGCCCCAGGCTGGGATGAAACAGGTGTTCAGTACTCTCAGATGGTTTTCCAGTGGTTCTTTAATTGATGTCAGCTCATGATGAGATCCTGCAACCAATCAAAGCCCTGCATACTAACACTTGAATATCAATAAAATTTATTCATATAGATTCACAGTCTATCCTCCTCTATGCTTTGACATCACTTGACCTATTAACCATTAAACTGAACTTGGTAACAAAAGTTGTCTTTGAAAATATTAAATACACCACTTGTTGAAATTAAAAGCCAACAATACTGTCTTTAGCCAGACAGTCCTCCAGCCTTACTCTAATATAAGTCAAAGTTCATGCATGTACAATAAAGGTGTGACAGAGCTTGGATGTTTCATTTTGAGAATGAAATTTGGGCAAATACGCATCTTTCGTAGTTTCTTATCAGGCATTAAAGTTAGTTAGTGAAATCATCAGGTATTTGCATTTGATACCAGTATTTCTAATGTCAAATCGGTCCTTCTATACGGGTCAGAAACTTCCACTACATGTAACGAAAAGGATTCCCAACAGGCTGCAGACTTTCATCAACAGCTGCCTTGGCTGAATTCATACTTTAGACCAAATGACCAGAAATAATTAGAAACAAGAAATTCTGCCTGCCAACAAACCAAACAAGAGGCGATCGCTCAACAAATATGTTAGAGAAAATGGAGATGGATCCGGCGAATGTTGAGGAGGCCGTCGAATGACATCGCACGTAGTGCAGGCCACTGCTCAAGTGGGATCCGAATGTGAAGCGGCGAGTGGGTCGTCAGTGTGAGGTTGATATGGAGGAGATCCTGTGAGGAAGAGATTAGAGATTATGGTCAATCGTGGACCGGGCTAAAGAGGACGGCAGAAGATAGGAAAAGGTGAAGATGTGTTGTTGAAGTCATATGTTCCACTGGGAACGCAAGGGAATAATAATGATTATTGTTATTTACTTAGCTTTTTCTTGAAATTGCAATCTTTAATTACGTTAGAGTTCCATATGAACTTGAAATACCTTATTTTTATTATTTCTACCTTATCCAATATTAGGTTGTCTTATGAAATGACCAAAATACATGAATAGCTATTTAGCTTCAGTAATACTGTAGCCTATGAATCGGTTTTTATGCAAATGTTGTTGGAATCTGGTGTCACTAAATGATTTCATTAATATTCTCATTATTTTAAGTGTTCCCTTGGGCTCCGAGTGAGACACAGGGATTCAGCCACACATTCCCAATTTGTAATATCCTCTGAAGTCCTTTTTAGCTGGCCCACGATTCTCCATAGTCTCTCATCCCCTCCCCACACGTTCTCCTCCATGTCACTCAGATCGCAGACGCATCTTTTCCCACTGGGATTCCCTTCAACAGCCTAGCTCGTGATGTAAACCAGAGGTTTCCTCAGGGTTTTCGATCCATTTAATATATTTTCCCTGGAATATTTCTCGAGCAATAGGTTCTTGTGCGTTGGTAGGATGTTCGCCGACTACGCGTGTGGTCTGGGGTTCGATTCTCGGCCACTAACACACTCCTCTATCTCGCTAAGCCAGTAATACGACTATTAAAGAGGGAAGGTTTGGCATGAGGCAAGCAACCCCATGCAGTAAAAATAAGCACCACTGCTACCGAAACTTCAAACCTTTGGCTTCAAGTCTCCCTATGTTCCACTGGAAATGTAAAGGAATACAATTTTAAAAGAGGTTCTTAATTGGTTTCTTCCCAAAGTTCCGTGTTGCTGATTATTTCTGGACACAGTGAATGTGTGTTGCTGAAGCCCTATGTTCCACTAGGAACCCAAGAGAATAATAATAATGTTTAGCGGAATAAGAGTTTAGGCCTGTGAAGTATCGCATAATAATCTAGGTGGTCACAATAACAATATGAAGGTTAAATTCATGCAAGTATTTGTATAATGAACTTTGTTTTAGTTAGTTTAGTAAATTTACCCGAAGCAGGGAAATGACAAAGATAGAACAGTGCATTTTATCCTTGAATAACTCTCTATACCTGGATACATCTTCATTTTGAACCTCCTATTCTCTTCTGTGACAGAACTATGAGATCTTGAATTCCCTTTCATCAAATATTGTGATCATTCCGCCTTAGATTTCCACTTCTTGTTTTGTATAAACATGTTTATAAACTTCTTCATAAAGTCTTGGGATTGTCTAAGAGAAGTAACACTTACTTGACATATTTTGTTTATTCACAAATGAGACTACTAGATTGTTTTGTTGGACATTTAATTAAATGTGACGATACTGATACGCCATAGCAAGATACAATCACTGTCTATTAATAATGTCAAAACTCTTGTGTTTTGACATTATCTTGTATTGACAATCATCTTTTGTGTCCAAAAATACCACTTGATATTTTGAAGTTATTCTGAATAATTGACTTAAAGCATATATAAATTAAAATAATATAATTGATTAAGTGTGATAGAGCTAATAACTAAGCGTGTCACTGGCGCGACGTTTACACATGATAGCTGACATATGTAGCCATTATTCTGTTTACATAACTGATTCGATTTGTTTTTCTGAACGAGGGAAATGATGCTTCATATTATCAGATATATTTAGGTCGGTAACAGTCGAGTTTATATTTTTGCGAGTTGATCACAGATTGATGTCAGTTAGAGAACCACTGAAAACCAGCCACAGGGAGTACTGGACAGCTGTCTCATTCTCATCTGGGAATCATCGGCAGTATGCACACACTGCCAGAGTTAGAACCTAGGACTCTGGCTCGTATACCACTCAACGACCAAGGGTCCCGATTCAGTGGCCAGCCAGCCCATGAATTCTAACCTCTACCAATTCGTGATTTAGTGCGACCCCAAACAGTGCCGTTGGTGGGAGATCCACCCTCACACTTGACTGGATGGACCTCACTGGTCACGACTTCTCGCTTCTCACCTCTCCAGTTGTCCCTGTTTTTCAATGGTTCTCTAACTGATATCAATCCGTGATCAACTCGTATAAACAAATCTAATCCTTATAGAACCAAACTCTTGAAAATTAACCTGATGCTCACTAGTGACATGTTACAGGACAGAGTCTCCTGAAGTTCTAGTGAGAAGTCGTTACCAGTGAGGTACATACAGTCAAGTGTGAGGTTGGATGTCCCACCGACGACATTGGTCGGGGTCGCGCTAAATCACGAATTGGTAGAAGTCAGAATTCATGGGCTGGCTGGCCACTGAGAAGTCGGGTCTCAGTGGGTGAATGGTATACGAGCTCGTTAGCCTTGTAACCGGGAGTTCCTGGGTTCGAACCCTGGCAATGGGTGTGTGCTGCCGATGATTCCCAAACTAGGGTGAAACAGCTGTTCAGTACTCTCAGCTGGTTTTCAATGATTGTCCAAATGATATCAATCCGTGGTCAGTTCGTAAAAACAAAACTAATCTTTACAAACCCACTATAGAGCTTATATTTACTTTGTTTGAACTTCGAAGATCACTTTGTCAAAGTACCACTAACCTAGATTTTCAGTTTGCAAACATTCTTTTGAATACTTTAAGAAGATTATACTGACTTTTAGATTCGAAAGTGCTCTGTGAAGTATTGTAGCCAGTGACTCTACAACTAGTTTAGTTACATATAGCGACTTCGGTTTTTCAGTAGGCTTTATATTACTCCAGACGGTTAAGAGTGATCTTTCTGATTTTTTGTTTAACATCTAATATACTGAGAAGTGACATTCTGTTAACTGATGGTCTGCCTATGTGTTAAACGAAACATATGAAATCATAATAGGGAGATACATATTAACTTTGTGTCGGTGATTTCGCAGTAGAACGCTAGCCAACTGCGCCTCATGTAGTCTATGATCCGATTTCCATCCAACGCACTCCTAAATTTCACTAATCCGGTATTAATACCGGAGAGGAGGGGGGGGGTTGGTTTTAAGACTAGTAATACCCCAGTCGTAAAAATAAGGCCACTGCTACTGAAGCTTCAAAGCTGAAACTTGAAGCCCGATGTTCCATTCGGAAGTCAAAGGAATAAAATAAAATCAATATTAACTTTATTATCAAAAGTGCATCGGTGGCACAGCGGTAGAATGCTCACCGACCAACGCACTCCCAAACTTCGCTAAGTCAGTAATAAGACTGGTAAAGAGGGAAGGTTTCCATGAGGCTAGCAACCTCATCCCATAAAAATGAACACCACTACTATCAAAACTTCAAACCTCTAGCTTGAAGGCGCCCTATGTTCCACTGGGAACGTCAAGGAATAAAATAAAAATTATTATAATATTGTGTTTATATTCATGCTTCTGTTTACTTACAACGATATTGACATCTTTGTTCAATCTTCCAGTAATAGAGACAATTTCTTCACGGCTTCGACTTCCACTATAATAGAGTTCAGCGCCTGCAAATGGTTCCCGTGTTTCACCCCTGCGTATTTGAGTCTTCAATTCTTCAAATATCACTTGATCACAATAAAAAAAGAAGTTGATAATTCAATAAAGAAAGGACTTGAATTACTTGAAAGGTCAAGAAAGGTTCTGCTGTGTGGGTGAAACGATTAGTTGTTTCACATTCACGGAATGTTGTAACGTGATATTTTACGCATATGGCAGAATTTTAATTAACTGCTTAGATTATGGTGACACACAAAATGAAAATTATACTGACTGTTAAGATTAATTTACAGGGTAACCTGTTTAAAGTAAGAGCGATTAGTAATGTTTGTTTTCCACAATCATCTTTATCGTAAATGATGACACAGTAAATATCGGAAGTGTAAAGTGTCAAGGGAAATCTGTCTAAAGCTGATCAGTAGTCTGTCATGATTTGAGTGAACAGCAGAGCAAAACTGTTATGTCTGTGATAATACTGGATTTGCTTTCATTTGACTAGTGTTTCAACCCACTATAATATACGACTTTTTCTTCGACTATTATTGAAAGAGACGGGGATGACTGACTGAAAGACAGGTTAGTTTATGCAATTTCACTGTGGGGTTGTGTTCTCTAAGCTGGATAATTTATTTGCGAAGCTCTCATTGCCCTAATTACTAGGCAACATCTTCAGTGCACACTTCAATTTGTTAAAGTGAACTTTGAGATTTCTCCACGAGTTTATTAGTCATCTCTCCTCCTGGTGGATGACCATGAACATCGTGATTGGTTGTTTTTTGTGTTTTTTCACACCCTTTAGGCCATTTGTATTGGTACTCATTGTTTCTTTGACCTGAAGTTTGACCCTTTGTGTGTGAGATTTCCTTATCGATTGGTAAATCTTGTCAGTGTCGATGTGTCTATTGATTGATGATTCACTGGAATACCAGGCAGGCTTCTAAAAATTCTCCAGCATTCTTGGTTTTTCCTCTGTCTAATATTTGAACGCTGGTTATCCCAGTCGAATTGACGTCCGTGGTTGTCTGTATGCAGTGAGGCGATATGAGGGAGTGGATGTCATGTCTTTTGACGGCTAACTTATGTTCATGGATACGAAGACGAAGGGGACGTCCACTTTGGCCAATGTAGTGCTTTCCGCAGTTGTTGCAATTTATTTTGTAGATGATGTTGGTTTTATCTTCTTTCGTTGTTGAGTCTTCTGGTTAACATAGAACTGAGTGAAGTGATTTTGTTGGTTAGTGTGCAACGTCAATTCCTAAAGGTTTGAAGAGTCTTGCAGTGATTTCTGAGATGTTTTTTATATATTTTAGGATGATTTTCTTTGTGCTTTCCTTGGGGGCTTTGGGTTTGATAGGTTGTCTTGGGAGTATATGTCTTTTGATGAAATCCCGTGGATATCCATAGATATCCAAGTATGTGCTGAAGATGTTCCGATAAATACCAAGTTGATTTTTGAGTAAATAGCCTGCTCTAGTTCTCAGGTTTCTAAATAAAACAATCTGTGGATTCCAAATCCTTCTCGTGTTAACTCCAGCGGTATATACATATTTGCATGTATCTGCAGGAGCAGTTACATTGGAAGAATAGGAAGAAGGGCACACCTCCGATTTTCTGAACATGTGCCGAAAATCCTACGTCTCAATGAAATAAAATCGAATTATAGCGCTATTACCAGATATCTTCTTGATACGAGTCATGAGGTGGAAATCGCGAAATCCTTTAAAATTATCAATAGATAAAGGAGTTCGATTCTCCTCAAGTTTGCCAAAGCAATTTTTATCGAAAGTCTGAAACCCGATTTATGTGTTCAGAAAGAAACAGTTATTAGTCTTTCGTCGATTACCTTGGTAACTGGATGTCTTTATTCTCTCTTTCACTTGATCACGTAATCTTTGACTTTACCCTCAGACCCCTTTGATAAAGTATAATTTTGCTTATCTCTTGTTTCTATGATTTGAGTTGAACTCAGTACATAGTTACCTAATTTATTAGTCATTCAGCATCTTACGCACCTCTCATCTTTATTACGTAACTCCTTTACCATTGTATGCATACATTTGCTTTGTTTAAACTTGAACTGCCTGTGTATATATAAAACTATATAAGCGTAATTTTCTGAGCACTGTTCACTAATTCCGGAACGTCCTGTCAACTGAAATCATGTAAAATTTGCAAGTATGTTTAAACTTTTCTGTACATAAAAATAAACAATTTATTTAGGCTGTAAGCAGCTGATGAGAAGCCAACGAAATAAACAAATGATGGTACCATATTATTTTGCACAAACCACTCTTGTTCTTGCTTTATTCAAATTCATCAAGGGGAACAAATGCATGAAATCTTGGTTTTATATTGATTTTTTGATTATAGCTTGCAACCACATGGTACTTTTGGTACAAGTATGGAATTTTCAGCACGTGATATCGGTAGCCCAAATTTTGCAGGCCGACCATAGATTTCAGGTGTGCGTCGGCAGGGAATCGAACCCGGGACCATGTGCACGGTCGGCGAGCGTCCTAAACGCTGTGCCACCGATGCACAAATATGATTTATATATGGGATAATAGTTAACTTTATTCGCTTTATCCTACGCCATTTCTTTAAATTGTTTTATTCGAATAAATGGAAAATGGCGGAATTTTTAAATATGTGAGCTGTTTTAAAAAAACAAAACTCTTGAAGTAGCATTAACTTAAGAAAAATAAAGTCTCAATTAGCATTAATTCTAAAAAATTTACTCATTGTACAATAACTTACGCAACATGAAGTCATCATAAGAATCTGAAGAGTATGGAGTACTTCGATCGGAAACTTTTCTGACGAATGCATTTGTAACTCCCCTAGGAATACGAACAGCTGTGATTAAGCCTAGATAAAATATTTAAAAAGATTTACAGTACAATTTTTTAAAACTGAGTTCAACTGACTTAATGCCACGAGATAAACTAGTAGTAAAACTTACCACGTAGGTGAACACCAGGTGAAGTCATTGCATTCCCATTGAAAACACCTTTTACCTCTTCACAAGTGCTGTTATCACCACCACAAACTCGACAGCGATCAAAACGCAGTCGAGATCCAAGAATACCATCACAACCTGTTTCCTGAAAAAACATAGAAGGTATAGAAAAGGTTTTTAAGAATAGCCCATAGACTTATAGGGGGACGAACTCATAATGACTGTGATTTTCAGTTGAACTTCGTGTCCTTTACTTATGGACGTCCATATAAAAATATTCTTTCATGAGAGCGGACCACTCGAATTCACACTCATTAAGTGAAAAAAGACTCAGGACCTGCAGGATATCATCTAGATGTGCCTATGAACACTTACCAGTATGGTTGTGAATCGGAGAACATAGAACATTCAACAGATCAGTTCTGTAGCACATTACTACTTCTGGTCATGCAGCAACAACAGAGACTTCCTTCAGAGTCACTGGTACAAACCAACTGCGAATACTGGACAGCTGTTTCGTCAGCCTAGTTTGGTACACTTCATCAGAACGCATCTACCGGGGTTCCAACTTAGGACCTTCTAGTTAGAAGGCTCGAACCCCGATGGGTGCGTACCCATGAAGAGTCCCAAACTAGGCCGACGAAACAGCTGTCCATTACTCCCAGTTGGTTTTTCAATGGTTCTGTAACTGATGTCATTTCATGATGAAATCCTCCAACCAATCAAATGGTTAAGTAAAAACAGCCTATAAACCAGATAACCGGTATAAGAAAACTGACTAAGTTATAAGGTAGTATTCATTATTTTATTTTATTTCCTTAATATCCAAGTGGAACATAAGGCTTCAGTCTAGAACTCTGAATTTCTAGTAGCAGTGGTTCAGTTTTTGTGTGTGAGGTTGCTAGCCGGGCGTCGACCAAGGATCGAACACCCGACCACGTGGGGCGTGGTTGGCGACCGTTCTACCGTCAAACCAGTAACGCATACACCATAAGGTATAAGGTGACCTTACTTTGACAAAATGTATATTGACTGACTGACATCATTAATAAGCGTTAAGTGGAGGGGCTGCTAATTGCAGTGAAATGTCAGACGATAAAGTTCAACGATAAAGGAGATAATAAAGCTGTTTTGACTGAGAGATAAGAGTTGTACTATTTTCTGCAGCTGCATTTCCAGCTATTTATTTTACTGGGAAGGAATGATCAGCGTATGTTGAGATATGAGTCTCTAGAAAAGTTGCTTCAATGATCTCAATTCTATGTTATTTGTTAGACAATGATTTCTAATTTAATCCAGTGTGTGTTTCAGCTTAATTAGGACCCTTCAGTTGCTGAATGTCCTCGTGTATCAGGGATAGAAAGTGTTTGCAACGAAACTTCAAATAAGCAACTATCGTTTCAAAAGCCTTCGTATATTACCCACTAGGCCAATGAGATACGAGGTGCATTTCTGGATTCGCAAAAGCAAATGTTCATTAATCTATTTTCATGTATAGTCACAGACTGAAATTAAACATCATTTTGTTAGGCTATTCAAATGTATTAGAATAAATGTATTCAAATTCTTGTTCACCAATAATCCTAACTCTTTTCAATAACTTAGAAACAAGCTGTTTAATTTCAGTCATAGTCAAATCATGAATGTGGTTTTTAAACTAAGGTGAAGATAGTAGGCTCGACATCTCTTTAGTCAAGCATGAAGTTGGTATGCATTATTGGGTGGTCTAACAGTTTGGATCGTTTTTAAACGGCAAAGCAACCTAATAAATGACCGAACTTTCGTAATGTGTGATCATAGGAAATAAAAAGACAGTTGCAGCGAAGAAAATTTTCTTTTCGACGAAGTCATCATCTAGGCTGTACATTCGTGTATTTATATCAAATGGATGGGAAAGTTCCAGAATAATTTCCAGTTAAGGGTCAAATTAATAAAAATTACGATTAGGAATTAGAATGCTGTTATAAACAGGGGGACGGATAAAACTCAAACAAAGTAGCATAATAACTAATAAGATTGACACTGTGAGATTGGGGGTTAGAAATTTAGAAATAACAAAATAGACAGGATGTTTGGATAAAAAACTAATGTGATGAATAATTGTTTATGCAATCATGGATTAAATAATTAGAAATATCACCTAATCGCGAAGTGGCTGGAAGAAATTCTTGGACCAGTGAAAGAAAAGTTCTCGAGATACAACCTCCGCGACACATTCGATTTCGTGGATTCAATTAAAAATGTCAACCTCGCAAATGAAATGATGGTCTCCCTTGACGTCGTCTCTCTGTTCACCAATGTTTCACTGACAGAAACTATATGCTTTCTGTGTGACTTCAACCAATGTAACAGCAAAGATGTTGGCATACCGATCCATTATCTTAAAGAGCTGTTACTACGTTGCACCTTCAACGTCTACTTCAAATTCAACGACAAAATCTACAGGCGAACAGATGGCGTAGCAATGGGCTCTCCACTCGGACCATTCCTAGCCGACTGTTTTATGGCCAGCCTCGAAAACAACCCGTTATCATCAACTATCGACTACCTTCATCTCTACAAGAGATACATTTGTGATACTTTCAACATTTGTGATGAGAACCTGGACCTTGAAAACTTACTTCAAATCTTCAACAACGCTCACCCAAATATCGACTTTACACTTGAGACTGAATCCGACGGAATATTCCACTTCCTCGATGTCCATCTGACAAGAAACGACAACAACTCTTTGAAAAGGTCCATATTCAAAAAGCCTACATGAAATGGACAATTCATCAACTTTCAAAGCTTCGTGCCCCTAAGCAGAAAGAGGAACCTGATATACGCTCTTTCCTCGAGGATTCGGAAGATATGCAGCGAGGAAGTGATTGAACAAGAACTGTGTAATCGCCGAAAAACCCTGATGGAAAACGGTTTCCTTCCCAGGTTCATAGACAAGAATCTCAAATCTAAGAAGACTTCCGAACAAGTCCCATCTGTTCCAAACATCCTGTCTATTTTGTTATTTCTAAATTTCTAACCCCCAATCTCACAGTGTCAATCTTATTAGTTATTATGCTACTTTGTTTGAGTTTTATCCGTCCCCCTGTTTATAACAGCATTCTAATTCCTAATCGTAATTTTTATTAATTTGACCCTTAACTGGAAATTATTCTGGAACTTTCCCATCCATTTGATATAAATACACGAATGTACAGCCTAGATGATGACTTCGTCGAAAAGAAAATTTTCTTCGCTGCAACTGTCTTTTTATTTCCTATGATCAAATGTGTGATCAGTCATAAAGGTCGTGCCTGGCTGCTTCATATATAAAAATACTATATTTAATAGGAATCCTTTCACAGCTTTGTGAAGCATACGCTCATAAATTTTATCTCTGTAGGGTGCTTAAGACACAAACATTGTTCCTGGTTCAGTAGAAGAAACCCTTCAACGGCTCAATGAAACCTGTAGACGAAAGGGATACTCAGTTGTCACCTTTTTCACATTAGAGAAGAATTTCCTAATAGTGTGATGTAATTTATAAATGAATGATGAGGAAAGTGTGATTACGTCTAATCTTAAGCTGTAGGGTAGCCAGTAACTTTTATTTCAGAGTCGCAAATGTTGTTTAACAACCAAAGTCTCCATACTTTTTGTTTCCCATGGATAGATGAACTTGATTGGCAATATATCCTGCTAAAACTATTGCACAGTTTACTGTACCTCTTACGTAGTACTTAAAATTTCACAAGAAGAAGTCCATTTTACACTTTAGGCGTGAGTTTTATTCATTAAACAATTAACTAAGAAAAATGTTTCTGTCAAAATAATTTAATGGCTCCACTGGCCCCATTGAAACACTTAATTTGACTTCCCAACAGAATTACAAATTTAAGTTTGCTTTAAATTCTGCGTTGTTACTAAGCTGTAGTCAGCACTAAAAAAATAGATCCAAGGTTAGAATCATCTATTTTAGGGCAAGTCTGATGTAGAGAAAAATACCTGTAAAATAGACTAGATAAAATTTTTCACCAGTATGAAACCGTCAGTTCTCACAGAGACGATTTCACTGAATGTGGATTGTTCTTTATGCTAATGTTTTAAGTATCATCGATTACGGAAAGTTTACAAAGAATATACAATGCTCCGACGTATGCTTGACGTGTTAGTATCCTTTTCCTGTCAAACTGCCCAATAACTCCGTCATTCTATTGATTCTACTGGCTGCCCTGATAATGTTAATCGTCCAAATGTAATCTCACTATATACGAATATCTCATTGACTGAGATAGTAGGTTACGTACACGAATATGTTGATAGTATCGAGTTGTTTATTGCAATATCTATTCATAATTTATAGGATCACATTGTGGCGCACTCTGGGTATCTGTTTCTCCTTCAACAACGATATATCTAGAAAAATAGTGGCATAGCGATGGGAAAACACATGTGCCCAAGAGAACCAATCATCTTCCACTTTACAGAAGATATGTAGATGAAATGGACATTATTTCTAGGGATGTAGAAAGCCTAGACGAGATTGAACACATGTTATTCTGGATTTAAAAGGCGGAAATGAAGTCTTTCTGCAGTTTCGCTTGGGAACATCTAGTTGATCCAGACCATCAAGTGGGCCTACAAATTAATTTTGTGGTGAGAGCTGGCTGCAAGCCAAAATTGTAGACAACAATTTATGTCACTGTTCACGTCTCGAATCACGGTCATAAGAAAAACAGTAAGAAGGCTTAACCTTGGAAAAATCACAGCGGAGTTAACGTGTTGGAATATGATTCGCAGATATATGGCTTGATTTTCTGAGAAACGGCCATAAAGAGATAAAAGAATAACTTTGAGCAAGAAAACAACCAATCAGAAGAGGTTGCTTCTGCGCTAACAATAATGTACATAAAAATCTATAAACACCTCTTGATTTTCTCAACAAAGGATCTGTTTTCTGGCCTTTGTCTTCTGTCGTTACAATTTCACTGTTACCTACAGGTTAGGCGAGAATCTTCTGCCAATGAAACCACTTCAATCTACAGCAGGCTATGGCAGTTAGCATCTAAGACCCTGAACACTGTCTACAGATGAGATTTATAGTTAAGTCAACCTGTGAAACATTTTGCTGTTGAAGTTTCTCTGTTTAACTGGGTCGCTACCCTACAATTCAAAATTTTCTTTGGTGAACTCTACTCAAAACTTTTAATCAGACAGGATCGTCAAATTTAGTTGTTTACCCAAACTTTGGCCCTTACAGATATTTATGTGATCACATCTCATTTCCTCGACCTTTACTCAGAACGGAATTTTGATATTAAGTCTCTAAAACATTTTTAGTACAAAGTGGCCTTTTCGCTGAATGTTTTTATTTGGTTAAATAGTCAGAATGTTTGGTCTATCTAGACAATTTTTAAATGTCATCATAATAGCCACATCAAGATCCCGGTAAATTGATATGCAAAACATAAAATGCTCGGAGCTGACTGTGGAGGTGCTTAACAGTTGTACCACAAACGTAATTATGACGACAAATAACACCAGACTTCAGCTAAGACGCTGTCGTACAGATAATCGCCCAGTCAATTATTAAGAATGGTAGAGTAGGGTAGGTAATAGCTAAATGGTTCTAAACCATGTACAACTAGGATTAGGATCTCATTCCACAAGCTCGATAGCTAACTAACAAAGAAATCAAGAAAGACAAGCAATGGATCAATAAAGTCAAAAATCACCACTCATAATAATGTTTAAGATATTTAGATATGGTTTGTAGGGGCGTAAGTTATTTTTAATTTAAAGTGCATCACCAGCTAACATCAATTAGAGATCACTAAAAACCGGGGAGTGCTGGATAGCCGTTCCGTTCTAGTCTGGAACTCTTCAGCAGTGCACGTCCGCGACCTCACCAGGCATCGAACCTGGGGCCTTTGGATTGTGAAACCAAACTAGTTGACAATTCATCCATCTAGTCCAGAATGCAGTGATGTCAGTGATGTTAGTGGTTAAGTCGTATCGTAAAAAATTTCATAAAACTGACATAATCAAGACGACTCAAAAACTCGTGTAATTTCCAAGTTCGTAGACAGTGAGTGAATATTTAATTAACTGTGGAACGCTGCAGTTATGTGAAGTAAATATTCATTCAGAATTGGTGGGATTCATAATTCGTGTTCCACTGGATTCCAGTGTAGGGTCTATAATGCTCGACGGGCAGCGGGTTCTATCCCCAATGAGGTCATGGGCCAGTACTGCTAAACCGTCCCAAACCGATATGATACAGCTGTCTAATACCATTCGATTTGCAGTGATTTTCCAACTTATATCAAATCCCTACAAACCAATACCTGCAAATTGGAAATAAGTTATCCACGTACCTCTATATATATATATATATACATATATATATGTATATCAAAATAAAGCAATTCAACTCACCCAACATTTCCCCTGAATGCAAATATCATCTCTTTGAGAATAACATGGGGTGCCATCTGGCAAAGTAAAACTATGCGGAACAGAATGTGAATTGTACAGACAGATTAGATTGCATGATGTGGGCTCACCGACTGTATTGAAGAAAATCAAGAAAAGTAAACGCGGTATATTCAGTTAGATAATTCATAGAAACCCTAATGATACTATCACCTTTTTATTGGTAGCTCAATAAATATGGCACAAATGAACTAAATAAAACTGTACTCTTATATTAAAAAGGTCATTTTATTTGCACGTTTTGAATTGAGTGAAATGCATTACCTAGGATGTGTAAATTTAACTGTTGAGAAGCAGAGATAACTGGCGGTCTGCTTAAAAAAACTGTGCTACCTGAATTCCCAACGAACAGAAAGCATAAAATTTTTTTTTCTTATTGTCATAACCATTTGATTATGTTCGTGGATTGTAAAATGTACTCAAGCACACTTTTAATTGGCTTTCATTTTTTGGAGGCAAAAGAAGGATATCGTAAGAAATTAGCTTTTTCTTCAGATAGAACAACGGTGTGTCACATGATATTGGTGTAAATTCCTATTCGACTTAGAAAACCTGGGTGAAGAGAAAATATTACGCAGTATTATGTTCATCAACTAGACGGCAGCCTGCTTAAACGATTGGGCTACCAGGATTTTCATCCGTCGAATTGCTTTAACTATTCTGCATTTCTTATTGTTTTAGTCGTGCATTTATATCAAATGATCAATACATTAAACTCGCGCGCATATTTAATCAGCTCTCAATTAGACACTGTGCAATTCTTGAAAGAAGTAAAGAAAAAACTTGCAGAATTGGTTGTCTCTACATATGTAACAACTCTACGTCACATGGAATACTTCAGATTATCACTTTGCATAAGAATCGCGTACGAAGAGGAAATATTTTGGAATTAAATAGGCTGAAAATTTATGTAATATATGTCCACACATTGTCTGAACAAAAACGCTTTATTATTATTAGAATAAATTGTTCTAGGAACTCTGTACTTTTTCCGGGGGATACAGCTGTTAGTGTTATTGTAATAACATCCTGCTAGAAAACATCATCGATTTGCGTGAACAGTCTACAACAGCTGTTATTACTCAGTGCTGTTCACCAGACTACTTAAGTAGACGGTTTTATTGACGTTAAAACATTTTGACAGAGATTGTCAAGGAAACATTTGCTTCTATGTTATATCGTAACATGTGTTTCAAAGTTCTGGCTACAGAGCCCACTGGCTTGCGTTTGCTTCTACAATCTGGACTCTTCCATAATAGTGTAGTCGTTTGTCGTTGATATGACGGTTCAGAATTTAAGCTAGATATTCGGGAATAAATATACTTAGGAGAGAGATTATATATTACTTTTTAATGGAAGTTGATTTGTTTTGATGTGTTTCCTTTAGCTTGCCATTCAGTTTGAGGAGTCTTGCCTTATTTGATTGTTTTGTTGTTTACGCGGTTTATTCTCATCTTCTTTAACATGTGTATATGTTATAATAAAGGTTTTTGTATTTCTCAATGAATGAAAAACAAAACGATATTGTTTTTACTCACGTTCCGCTATTTAATGCTAATAGCTTTATCAAACTATTATTAAACCGGAATTTACAAATCTCAGCATATATATATACATATATATCATATAACATATATAGCATATATATATATATATAGCATATAACAAACCCCCTAACTGTTTCTAACATTTTCCTGGGTGATTTCGATATTGTCAAAATCATTTTTGTGGCCTGATTCCATCGCGTGTAGACTGCCACCTATGACTGATGATTTTTCAAGCTTTTCTAGTTCACTAACTGGATTTCTCAGTGGTCGAACAGATGCTCTACAGTGTTCATTCCCTCTGATTTTGATTTCTCACTAACGATGTTTGTCCAATGTATATATGGCATCACATTCCAAGCCAGTACTTTATTTTATAGACACAATTAGTTAGAGAATCTTTAGGGATTTGGTCTTTTATATAGACAAGGTTGCTTCGCAGTGTGTCTGATGCTTTGAAGAAAACTATGATGTCGAGCTTACTGAGTACTCTTCTGATATCGTCTGATGTTTCTGATCTATGTAGAATGACAACTGTTGAGGTCCGTGTTTTCAGAATACGTTTTCAACCATATTTAATGTCAGTGTTCATTTTGTTGATGAAGTTCTTTGGGTAGTTATTTTGCTTGAGAGTCTCAGTAATATTTGCTATTTCTTTTTCTTTTTTTCTCATCCGTTTTCCATTCATTGGGAAATACAAAAAAGGCTTCATTATAATGAATGTTCCACTATAGTTGCGTTTATTGTCAACAAAACTGAAAGTAGAATCTTCAGTCTTACTGTTATTAGTTCAATGTTAAATCCATCGGAACGAACCACCTCTTTATGCCTAATTTTACTGCCGCCTACCCTTCCATTAACTGATGAATTTCTTAAATCCAATGCAAAAATAGACTATAAATGATCTAGAACAGACACCCTTTTCATATTCACAATTTGCATTAAGATTTATGAAGAAGTAGGTAAGAGTGAATAGAAATCACATTTCTAAGTGTCCAGTATCTAGTGGTTTGCAGACTGCATATTTAACAAAAAAAAGATGTTTGTATAAGTGTTAAGGACAATTAAATCCCTTTAGAAAATTTGTCCTGTTAAACTCGACTTGCTTCATTTAACTAGTAGGCAAGATACAAACGCAATTGCGATCAATCTGACTGAAATGATAGCATATTTAGCTCTGTTATTACGTCACTAATATTTTTGTAGATGTGGGTCTTGTTTAGGCACATTGTCATGTCTAGGGTAAGTGTGTGTGTGTTCGCGCGTGTGTGAGTTACTTTATAGCTTCGTCAATGCGCTTTGATTTCCAAAATGGTGTGTGAACACTTACATTTATTACTTTAAGTGGTATTATAAATATTGGAAACTTAATTCGAAAATTACGTCACCAATTCCCCTAGAAAGTAGGAAAGAATTCTCCTGTAACTGTTAACAAAAAGCCTCTATGTATTTACGGATACAATTTAGGGGTGATACACCAAATGAAATAATAACCAGCAAGTTGAGAAAAGCGATTCAAAGAATGTCTAATGCTTTTTGATATGGTTGTATTCTCTGAGCTGGTGGATAGTTTATTTGCGAAGCTTTCATCGCCCGCCCTACAAGGCAACATCTTCAGCCCACACTTCATTTCGTTGAAGTGAGCTTTTAGATTTCTCCACGAGTTTCTGAGTCATCTCTGTTGGTGGGTGACATTGAATGTGACTGGTTGTTTTTGTGTGTTTTCACACCCTCTAGGCTACTTGTATTGAAACCGATTGAAGTTTGACCCTTTGTGTGTGAGATTTCCTTCTTATCGATTGGTAAATTCTGTCTATGTCGATGTGTCTACTGATTGATGATTCACTGGAATACCAGGCTTCTAAAAATTCTCTAGTATTCTTGGTGTTTCCTCTATCTAATATTTGAGCACCAGTTGTCCCATTTGACTTGATGTCCGTGGTCGTCTGTATGCAGTGAGGCAATACGATGGAGTGGATGTCATGTCTTTTGACGGCCAGATTATGTTCATGGATACGAAGACGAAGGGGATGTCCCCTTTGGCCAATGTAGTGTTTTTCGCAGTTGTTACAATTTATTTTGTAAATGATGTTGGTTTTATCTTCTTTTGTTTATGAATCTTTTGGTTGACACAGGACTGGCTGAGTGAAATGATCTTGTTTGTTTGTGTTTGAGGTCAATTTCTAAAGGTTTGAAGAATCTTGCAGTGATTTCTGAGATGTTCTTTATATATGGTAGGGGGATTTTCTTTGTCCTTTCCATGGGAGCCTTTGATTTGACAGAGTGGCTTGGAAGTATGTGTCTTTTGATGCTGATCAGTTGCGCCTTATATTTTCCACACAATCGGTTGTGATTCCGAAACTGAAAGATTAAATGTCTAGACTAACTGTCTTAAGTTACATTTGTTTTCGACGATTCCTATTGACTTGTTTTGACAAGGCGTGAATACAGAACCCTAGTGTCTCGATGAGACTGAATTCCCTGTAAAAATTTAATTGTTCACAGTATGATATCATTAAGAGTAAACATTGTCTTCATTCTTATATTCATCTATAGGCAGTGAAAAGGTTCCACCGAGGTAGTTTTAATTTACAGGTAAAACTGAACTTTAGAAGGATTTTTGAATTAAGCGATAGAGCCAAATCCACGATCGCTCTAGATTTACAGGATTTATCATCTAGCCATTAGCAGACTACCCTATCACTTGGAGACTTTATTCGTATGTTAAGTAGGAAAGATTCAAGTTACTGGGCAAATGAAGATTTCTTGAGCGAAGTATAACAGACAAATTTAACTCTGTGGATGATGGTAATATTCTAAGCCTCTCAAAAAGCATACGAAACTGACTTAGAACTTTTTCTCTTCAGTGTATTTGCAGTGTCGTAGATCAACAGAAATGTAAAAATTACGTTGAAGATTAAAAGAAACGGTGAGGTGAGAGCAGCACTATATCCTATAAAATAACGAGGAAACACCATGTTAACTATGGTCATTCTGTAGCTAGTGTACTACTTGAAATGAACGGAAATGATTTCCTTGATTAGACACTAGGTGGTTAGTAACTGGGGTCATGAGTTTAGCCTCTTGTTTGGTGTAAACTGGATTCTATCAGTCATGTTTTCAACGTGGCCACCGTGCTAACTGGCTCGTCATCACGATGCACTCTGAATCATTGTTATTAACTAGTTGGAGGCAATAGAAAGGAAACCTTGAACCTAGGTTTCGTGCTAGTTGGCTCTCATCAGTCAGCAAGGAGTATACGCAACCTCTAGGGAACTCATGTTCCTTTCGACATTCGATCTAGTGCTGCAGTTAGGGCCATTACTATGGAGAAACAATTTGAAGAATTCGATTAGCGTATTATTTTGTATTTACACATGCTGGGATTACTACCTCATTAGATGCTTAATTACTTGGGAGATTTCAATGCATGCAGTCAAAGCTGAGTAATCACATTGACTACTTGGTGATCAGTTGTTTTCAAAAAGCTTGTTAAAGTACCAACGGTGAGGGAGTTATGTAATAAAGACTCTATGATTTGAGTTGAACTCACCATACTGTTACTCAATTTATTACTTATTTATCATCTTATTCACCTCTTGTCTTTACTATGTAACTCCCTCACCATCATATACAAATCTGGAGTCGATGATATTAGGTGGTTGGAGGTAATTGGCCATAGGAAATCTTGTCTAGACATAGGTTTCGTGCTTGGTGGCACTCGTCAGCAAGGCATATCTGCAATCTTGAAGGAACTCATTCCCATTTTGAGATTCGAACCCGCGTCACCCAGTGAGCGATGCAGTCAGAGACGTTACCACTGACCCAGTCAGGCTCGCGAATGACCTACTGGAAGACTGTATTGCATACTAGTACCTAGTGTAATGCGTCTAGCTCTTTGTTCGGTGAAGATTGAATTCGACTTAGGTTTCGTGCTAGGTCCAAGGATTCCTGCCGATTGCCATCAACCATCTAATATCCTCGAATCAATGTGCACTGTGATAGCGAGCTACCTAGAATGATGGTTCCATTGCAAACTTGACTGATAGAATTCAGTCTGCACCAAAGTAAGGACTAGACACATCTCACTATTTACCAGTGTCCAATCAAAGTCTGGAGTCTCCCGTCAATTGATATGATGTCACAATTCCAAGTATGTTAAAACTGTTTCTGTATATAAACTATCTGATAATTTCTTCAGGCTGTATAAGCCGCTGATGAGAAGCCAACGAGATAAAAATGATGACACCATCTTATTCTGTACAGACTCTTGTTCTTGCTTTATTCAAAGTCATAAAGGGTAATAAATGTATGAAGTTTCTGAAAAATTGCCTCCCCATAATATTATAAGTTTACTTTACGATCTCATTGGGGTATCATGCATAAACTAAACATTATTTTCATTGCAAGTGTTAAAAACTTGAGGTTTGATAGATGTTTTCAGTTTGTAATGAAATCTTCTGCGGAATCAATGAATTCTTCCCAAACTACGGAAATGAGTATTTTTGCATAATTAATTATAGAATCTATTCTTGTAGATAAACTCACGTTTAGGAAAATATGCTCTCAGTTGTCCTTTATATGGCCCATCAATTTGATCGCATAATGTCTGACGAATATTCACTTCCTTCTCACACATCTTCATTAATCAAGAGAAGTAACAGGGAACAAGATTTAGTATTCGAACATTGTATGATAAGATAGACAATTTGATAGTTATATTTTGACCATTACAATATGCTAACAACATTCAGAGAGTAATTTGTACAACCATAAATTAGCACCTAAAAATAATAAAGGTGGCTACCTATACTTCACAGGTAACTGAGACTGCTTATATCACTGCCATTCCACTCCTCATACCTTTTACCAACACTTTTAACATCTGTCTGAATTTCACCGTGGAAAAAATTTATTTTGATAAAGTTTCACAGTGGCATACAGTAATATTTACTCATGACCACATTTCGAGCACAATTTATCACTGCTCATAATCCTATCAAGATACTACTCACACAACTTTGTGACTTCGTTTGTATAATTCCATTATTTTTCATCGCTTGACTTGATTGATAGTAGTATTTTCGATATTTCCGGTATGAGTGATAAGTCATTCCTATCACACGTGTTGGGTGGCATTTAAACCTACAAACACACTCAGGGACAAGTTCTGTAGGTTAAAGGACCCAGTAAATCCAATTAGAAGAAAACATATAATTTACAAAATGCCTTGCACTCACTGTGAGTGAGGTCAACTACATAGATCAAACTAGTAGATCAGGAGTAGTCAGATTGTCAGAACATAAAAATTTAGCTAAGGTAAGAATGGTTGACCCCGAGAAGATAAGTAATTTAGAAAAAAGCTCAGCAATCGCACTGCATGCATTAGCACACAACCACACTATAGGGTGGGAGAGGGTTAAAATTCTAAAAAGTAATCTAGGTAGGTGGAGAGCGAGAGAAGTTCATTACTGAATCCTTGTTCATCCAGTCTACACCCATCACTCACCACTCATATGATTATGAGCAGTGATAAACTGTGCTCGAAATGTGGTCATCAATAAATATTACTGTATAACACTGTGAGACTTTATCAAAATAAATTTTACCCACAATGGAATTATACTCTACCACAGTCCACAAGTTCTATTCTTATGTCTGAACTTCATCTTATGGCATTATGATAATGAAATAAATTTCTTATAAAGGTATCCATAAAAATTTTTTCTGTGAACTGAAAGGTGTGTCATCTACTGAATTAAGTTGATTTTATCACACTGATTCCTTGAATTGGAAATATTTGCCACAGTTAATCGAACAAACTTTTCATATCGCATTTTATGTGGGATGAAATGCAGACTGTACAATACTTCATTATGCATATATTACAAAGCTGACATTAGAAACATTACAGAATCTTCAAATAATTAATAACACACTATTAAACAGAGTTAGCTTTGCTTCAGACAACTGTAGCTGAAGAGCTTTTCGTCTTATTCGATTTTCTTATTCGAGTTCCCCTTATGTCTAACAAAATTTCCTTCCGTGGTGGTTTCAAAAGTACTTAAATAAATATCCTTTGTGTTTAATTGAACACATAGCAAGCTCTTAGGTTAATTGACTTTTACTGTTGTTTGATTACTTTGAGCCGAAATGTGATTGATCTGTGTTGACTTTCTGACTCCTAGTACGGACTGTGCAATAATGTGTGAAGACTTTGGTTGATACTGACTAGCAGTGGAATCTAGAGTGTTCATTTCTCTCTGTTTGGTGTTTGAAACTATGAGTATAGAGTTCAAGTCTCAGTGGGACGGTTGTCTCTATTACCATAGAGAAGTACATCCAGCTGACGAGTTCGGAATAGGACGAAAAGCACATCCTGGATTACATCAACTAAATTAACATAAAAATATACAAGTTCTCAAAAATGGATTAACCATTCTCTTCAAATTACTTTTAATACATATATGCGTTTTTAACTAGCTTTAGGAGTAATTTTCATAAGGCATGTTGCTCTAAGCTACTCAAATACAGTCGAATAAACTTGTCCAAGTTATAGCTCATTCACAGTCCTGTTTATGTGTATGACTCAGTAGCACGTTTTTTACCATCAGTCGTTTTGTAACCTTTTGGTTAACTTCTGGTTTCTTCACCAACACGAAAGTCCGAAAGCATGCCTCATTACTGTTTAATCAGTGTACACATGTTGTATTATCTTTGATAGAACCTAAATATCGAGGAAGAAACCTCTTCTAAACAAAACAGAGATTTTCTATTTCTTGGTAGAGTTTCACATAGAGAAATATTAATGCCAACATAGATACGAGATGAAATCATACCTTAGTTCCACACGACCTCATTCTAGTCCTGGTTCCATGACAAAAGTCTCCTCCATGTTGCGGTCTATAGCAAGATATCAGACGAAACACATAGAAAATTAAAAAAATCAAAGTCTTAAAGTATTTTGTCTTAGGGATTTAATGTCGTAATTAAGAAAAAAATCGAAAAGTGGACGCAGATTTCATTTTGTACACTATTTTCGTTTTTGTAGTTAACGTCTATACAAGGTGCTTGTTGGCACTGCATTTAGAAGGTTAAGGTGGTAGTTCGGTCTGTATTACGAAAACTATGGAAACGTTATCAAAATTCCTAGAATTTAAATCTATTTCTAAACTTCCAAATAGTTCATTTTCAACAGCAGATGCAGATTTTGAATGAATCTAAAATGAAATTCTTTTCTGACATATTTCTCATACAGTATGTATAACCAAGAACTAATTGTGCAACAAATATGCAGGAAGAAGTGGAGGTGGATTGGATGCCATACTCTGAGAAAACCATCAAGTGACATCACACGACAGGCCGTAGCTCGAGTGGAACCTGAATGGGAAGCGGCGAGTTGGTCGTTTGTGCAAGGGTGAGGTGACATGGAGGAGGTGATGTGAAGAGGAGATGAAAGCATGTAAGCAGACGTAGAGCGAGGTGAAAACGTTGGCAGAGAACTGAACGCAATGGAGACGTTTGGCTGAAGCCCTATGTTCCTCTAGGGGAATTAAAGGAAACAGTAATAATAATGTACAGCAAACTGTGCTATGCCACTTAATTAACCTTGTTGAAGTACTTTTGTTAGCTTGTATCAGTATTCTAGGCTGTTGTTAACAAGAGATGGAGATGCTTGAAGCTATGAGAAAACGACCTACTCACACAAGAACTAGGATCAACAGGGATTCATTTAAGCTTCTAATTTAAGTCATTCTCCTGAATTCTCTTTTCTTTAATGTTACTTCTGTGCATTCAATGATCACTGACGTTCAGAAAATAGGTTAAATTAGATGAAAGCAGGGGGTATTGCAAGTCTCTGAGATCCGTTAAACTTATGTTACCTTAGTACTTCATATGTTCACTGTCCTACTGAGACAGAAGACTGGATGCTTTGCGAATCCTACTTAACAAGTTATTGGTAACTAAATACTGAGAAAAACAAAGTCTGACAAATAGGTTTCGTATTCACTTAAGGTTTTTAAGATTCCACAAATAGAACGCAGTTCACTACAAAACATTGTATGATTTTATGAAATTTTGTAATTTTTTGGTTCACTTGCTTCCCACCTATTCCGTTGAATTAACATGAATGCTTGAGGAAAGTGGGGGATTGGATTGCACAGCAAATGCCTCCTCCTTTTCGGTTAACATGCAATGGCGATTTCAATAAGTGAAATGTCTTTACCGTAGCACAAAACCATGTGTGATAACGAAATTGCTGCGCCTGCTGTTCCCTCGCAGTTGAGTAAAGCTTCAAGATTAAGTATTAACAACATTTCGATATTAGACCATCTGGTCCAAAACGGCCGGCCACAAAGCCAGCATTGAAGAATCCTTCTCTATCGTATACCGGGTGCTAAATAAATTGCCAAAAAAATCGAAGTACCGCGTGCTCCAAACAGCAGAGACTATCGCAATTCGCGTGAAACAACTAGTGCTTTGTGTGCAAAAGGAGAATCCATTCTTTTGAAAATGTTGAAAAACCATTAAACCTTCACAATGACTTCGCCTTCAGCTGTCGAGTCTTGAATGAGTAGCAGTTCCATGCTATCTTACTTTCCGTATTTATCGACAAGCGAGAGTTTGTAATAACTGGTATTCTTTAGCCAGTAAAGATTCTCAGACAGATGTCACTGTTGACTTTAATCGTACCGGTGAAGTGTGAAGGGATTCTGGGAAAATAGTAAGTCGAGTTAATGATTAAATTTCATGTTCAAGGCAGCATAGGACAAGGAAGTATGGAAGCGTATTAAGATTTGGCTTGACTCGTAGCTAATTCATGATGCTGCTTTTTCTATTTTTCTACCGATTAGGAAACTATAGAAGTTCGGGACCTTGCGGACAATTTATGTTTGTTGTTATGCACGCTCGAATATACACAGGCGAAGACCAAGAAGTTGGTAAAAGAAACAGTGAAGGTGAAGAAGACGGGAGTGATGAAGATAACCAGACAATAGCACCAATGAGTGCCAATAACTATCAACGAGGGAAATTTGAAAGAGATTACTTCCATCACTTATCTTCTTGGTGTCCTTTCAACTGTGGCCAACTTGACGGATGAGAACGTAAAAAGCAGAGTGGAGAAGGAAAGAGAGGCTTTCACCACTCTGAAATCAATTCGGAAATCTTCTGCAGTCAGCATGAAGGGCAAGATTCGAGCTTTCAACACCGATGTTAAGTCAGTCGTCTCTTCTAAACGGGTCAGAAACTTGACGCGTTACGAAAAGAATTTAGAATAGGCCACTGAAGATTTTTTAACAACAGTCGCCTTCACTGGCCCCATAATAAAGATCAGATGGCCAGTCGGAAAAAATTAGCAACAAGAAACTTCGATTACAAACCAGTCAAGAACCTATTGCTGAATAAACATTCCTATGAAAGCGAAGACGGATAGAACACCCACTCAGCCCATTGAGGGATACTGCGCTCCCGACCATCATTCGAGTGAAACACGAGAAGGAAACAACGAGTTAACCATAGGTCCGAGGGTGACATGGAGGCGGTTGTGTGAGAAAAAGATGAGAGTCTATGGGAAGCCAGTCGAAGAGGATTGAAGAGAATAGGAAAAAATAGAGATGTGGTGTTGAATCCCTATGTTCCACTCGAAATCCGAACGAATAAAAATAATCATAAAATAAAAAATAAGAGGCAAATTGAGATAGAAAATGTTTCGAGGTCATTTCTATCCTCATCTAAGCGTATATATAAGACATATTTTCACACACCGAGTTTTAATATTTTGTTTTATCAACCTGATTTATATCTGAGAAATAAGTATCACACATATAATATTTGCTACTTACTCTGGATTATTGCATTCTCTTTCAGAATATTGCACTCCTCCGCCACAACTACGTGAACACGCTGACCATGAACCCCATTCACCCCAACCTCCATGTATTGGAGTTGGATTCTCGTTAGTAGGTATACACTGACCTTGGATACACCACTAGAGATAAAAAAGAAACAGTAATAATATACAGAAAACATGAAACAATGAAATGATTGGAGATGAAATCAAGTCATTCAGTTGTTTGAAGAATGCTCTCTCTCTGTCTCTCATCTATATAACTTGATTAAAGCAGGCCAGTTTTAGGAAGACCCCAAAAACCATATCAGCACATCATTTGGAACTAATACAAAACATTCAACGCGATCATGAAAAACAATAATTCGGATTTCTATTTTATGAGTGAAATTAAGTTCTGTACTTTTTGAACAAATGGGCGAAGCATTTTAATTTGGTACAACTTGAAACTAGGGAAAACTCTGAATCTGAAGGGAATTGAGTATTTTCAAAAATTAGTTTGTAGGGATTCTCTTCGTTTCAGGTGAAACCACGGATTGATATCCGTTAGAGAACCGTTGAAAATCAAGGAGTAGTGGGCGGTCTAAATTGAAACAAACAGAATCATTACAAACCAAACTATAGAAAATTAATCTGATGCTCGCTAGTGACTTGCTACAGGACAGAGTTTCCTGGACTGAGTTCTAATGAGAAGTCTTGACCAGTGCGGTTCATCCAGATGTCACGTGTGAGGATGGATGTCCCACCAATGACATTGGTGGTCGGTAGTCGCGCTAAAATCATAAATTTGTGGAAGTTAGAATTGATGGGCCATTGAATCGGGTTCCAGTGGCTCGTGGGTTCGAAACCTGGCAGTGGGTGCGTACTGATGACGAGTTCCAAATTAGGAGGAAACAGCTGTCCAGTACTCCCAGGTTTTTCAATGCTTCTCTAACTGATATCAATCTGTGTTCTAGCCTGCAACCAATATGATCCCTGCAAAAGAATTCTTGAATATTTTAATACATAGTGCAGAATTCGCAGCGTAACAAGTTATGTTTATTCAGTCTCAGAATGCAAAATGCATAAAATGTTCATCTGGGCTTAGTCGATATGAAGTTGCCATGTTTCATAAGATAGTTTCTACCATTAGAATCTGGTAATTAGAGCAGAAATGAAAAATTACCCTGTGATTAGAATCAAAACATTTGAATGCAGCTCATTGGTCGCATGGAGATATATATATATATATGTATATTAGTTGGAAGATTTCATCATGAGCTGATAACAGTTGGAGAACACTTGGAAAACCAGCTGGGAGTACTGGACAACTGTTTCATCCTAGTTCGGGACTCTTCATCAGTACGCACCCAACGGGGTTCAAACTCAGGACGTTCCGGTTACAAGGCTAGCGAGTTCGTTGACCGTTAAGCTACTAGGACTCGATCCGATGACAGGCCCATGAATTCTAACTTCTGCCAATTCACGACACCTATGTCCCTTCTGAGATTCGAACCCACGTCACCTACTTCTGAGGTCAGAGACGTTACCACTGGGCTATTCGAGCTCGTGACTGACATCCTATATGACTGCGGTGGATACTTTGATTGGATACAAGTAACTAGTGTGATGTGTGTACGTCTAATTCTTCCTTTGGTGCAGACTGAATTCTGTCAGTCAGCTTTGCAATGTGGCCACCATTCTAGGTAGTTCACCATCACGCTGCACATTGATTTGATGATATTAGATAGTTGGAGGCAATCGGCAGGAAGCCTTGCACCTAATCTTTATATTTATCATCTATAAAAACTAGGCCTGCCTTATTTAGTAAGCTAACGTCTGTCTGAAACAACCAGTTAGTTGATAAAAATCGATAAACGTTTTACTATCCTGCAAATCGCAAGATAAAGCCTTCTTAAAATGTATCAGTTTTTGTTTTGAATTATCATAAACATCACATAAACTACACTTTGATTGTAATAGAAGAGAACAAAATGACCCACCTTATTATTTCCACATGGTGTTCCTTCAGCCCAAGCTGCTTCCACAGGCAAACAAGACTTATGCTCACTGTCTTGACAGTAAAGTTGACGACAAACTGGTAACTGTGAGAAGAAGAAAAATGAAACAATTACACATAAATGCATTACAAGACAAACAATTTTAGATCTTCAATATACCAAGAAAGTTCATGAAGACAGTTACAACAAATTCTCCGTTTTGAATCCATCCAAATAAAAAACTAGTGAAGTAATTTCAGGGTAAGATGAATGACAGAGAGCCAAGTAAAATAGAGATATTCTGCTAACACTTTAAGTTGCTATAGCAACGCACGTAACGCATGATGATAAACAATAAGATAGTACGATACATGTGGCGTGCATTTAAATGTCATTAAAATGAAGCTAATTTCGAAATTATGTTTCTTAAGATGATTCACTCTCACTTTTACTAACTTTTCAATTGAAAACAGGTTGTTCTAAATTATTTTTTAAAAAATTTTTCGAAAAATCACTTGTCCTGGAATATACAACTGATCTGTGATGCTGTCACGCTTTCTTCAAGATAACTGATGAGTTCATATTCTGAAAATAGACCTTAAGATATTCTGATTTCAATGGAAAGTCATGCCAATGTATATACGGTTAAGCAGCATAACGTCTAAAGTGTACTCTTGCGCAAACCACGAGTGTTGGCGGCCTGTTTCAACTACTGGACTACCTGAATTTCCACCTAACACAATGCATCATCATATTTAACTCTAATTCTTATTGTCTTAACTATCCAGTTATCTCGCTGAGTTGTGACATATACTCACCACGCACACTTTCAATTGGCCTTCGAACTACAGGTGCGTATTTCGTGGAGACGAAGGAAAAATGTCAAGAGAGATTAGTCTGTGTGCTTCTGGTCTGGAAGCATTGCATCACACGATATATAACAGACTGCTGTTTTACTTGAAGACGCTGAACAAGGAGAATATATTGTGCAATAAATTACGCTGATAACTCTTTACACTGTGTAAACATATTTTTCAAAATAAAGCCATTTATTTCTCGATAAAGAAAGGAAGACGAAATTTGCAGTATAAAATGATATCATTCTAAAACTGGATAAATACCCTGCTGATGTCACCTCCAACTGCGTTTATGAATTTACGTGCACTTGCGGGAGCAAGTACATTGGAAGGACAGAAAGAAGGGCTTCTATCCGGTTTTCTGAACATATTCCAAGAAACCTATGCCTGAAAGGAAGCAAATATTCTCAGAGTGCAATTACCAGACATATTGTTGATACCGGACATCTCGTAGAGATCTCTAAGTCCTTCAAAATATTAAATAGACAAAGGACAGCAAATTTACTAAGATTTGCCGAAGCGATCGCAATCAAACGATTTAAACCAGACTTATGCATACAGAAAGAGAGTGTGATTAACCTCTCACTCCCTTGGTAACTGAATTTTGTTTTTGATTAGTCATCAGTGATCTCAACTCACTGAGCAAATCTCAATCTTATAAACTGTAAATGCTTTTTTTTTTTGAGATTTTGGAGTTGCCATGTGAACCTACAAGCTAACACTGTTTCTGTTAATCGATTTTTCTATTTTCTGTCTTACCCCTACCCCCTCTTTTCAACTCTGAAAGTGTATAAATTGATGATGATAGCTTAAACTAAAAATTGTAATGCTTTCATTCTTTTTTGGATGCGTCAGTTTTATCTCTTCTCTATTACTAATCAAACATTAAAGTATGTTATTATCATTTATATAACCATTGTAATTTCAGGTAGTCTGCGGCTGATGAGAACCTGTGAAATAGAATGATATCATTTTATACTGCAAATTTCGTCTTCCTTTCTTTATCGAAATTTATCAAGGGAACCAGTTGTATAAAGCCATTTATTTATTGTTAATTAGGCCACTGGGACTCGATCCAACGGCCAACCGATGAATTCCAACTTCTACCAATTCACGACATACTGCCATCGCTAGCCAATGTCTCCTTCAATGTCAGCTCATGATGAAATCCTCCAATAAATCAAACAAAATTCCCTACAAAAACCAATACCCAAAAATTAATCTGATGCTGACTAGCGACTTGTCCCATTCACGCAGTTAACCTGCGGTTCTAGTGGGAAGTCATAACCAGTAGTGTACAGCAATCGAAGGTGAGGCAGTAACTCATCGAAGAAGACATTGTCTAGCGGTCGCACTATGTCTTCGAATCGGGTCTTAGTGGCTTAATAGTCTGCGAGCTCGCTTTGTAACCAGAAGGTCATGGATTCAAACCCTGTTGGTGAGTGCGCACTTCTGAAGCGGAGTCCTAAACTAGGTTGACGAGACAGTTGTCAAGTACTCCCAGGTGGTTTTCCAACGGTTCTGTAACCAATGTCAGCTCATGATGAAATCCTCCAACCAATCATTAGCTTTCTATCATTTAATATGATATTAAAACATTGTTGGCTTATTTTGGAAAGAAAATTAAACTGAGTTTGCCAAAACTGACATAGTACAGTTAAACCACATGAATCCTGTATACCGTAAGTGAGCGGTAACTAGGTTTTGCTTGCTTCTTAGCAGAAAGTCGTGAAAAACAGAAACCAACTCTATGTAAGGAAAGTATTTGGATATTTCATTAGAATATAGTTCTGTGTTAGATAGATTTTTCTGGGCCTAGCACAAAGATGGCGCCTCGAGCACAGTTAATTGTTCGTAACCATATTACCTACAAACTTTACTTAAAGTGGAATCAGTCATATCCACTTCGTGTAACTGATGGTGAATCTAGCACTTGGTGTTGTCACATACTGTTGAAAACACTTTCATTGAGAAATAGACTTTCTTTAGAGTCGGAAGTTTTCAGCCGGCAGTTTTTCAATATTCAAATTCATTGAGATGACTGGAATGCAAAGGTTTTGGTTGAAGACTTTTGCCTACAATTAATTTTGTATATTTTAAACCAATCTTAAATAAAGCTCTGTGTGTGCATCACTTGGGAAGTTTTGTGGCAGTGGTTTTCTCCGTAGGACTGTTCCAGTGAAAACAGAGGCACAAAAACAGATGAATGTGTGGAACATAGTGTAGAAGTGCAGTTTTTAAGATACAAGTCTTGCTTTGATATACACTAGGAATAATAAGATTGATACTTGCTTAGAAGCATACTCTGGAGATTTAATGTGGTGAGTGATTATATACTACTCATTTTAATCAGTAGTGCTTGTCAACTATCCAGATCGAGGTGATCTAAACATCTGACGGTCATTCTCTCGTTTGATGGCCAAGTCGAATCTCTCAGCTAAGTCAAACCGAGTACACTGCTAATGAGCATGTCGGCAAAAGAGCGAAACAGCCGCCTGGTGTTTAGATCACCTCCCTCTAGCTAGTGAGCACTGCTGGTTGATATGAGTAGTGTTCAACTATACCTCTCAATCATTTAGTAAAACATAGTTTTATGCAAATACGCTCAGTTTCTCGAATACTCCTCATGGTATCAAGTAAGTCACATGCTGTGAAGTGAATAATTTGATTTCCGAAGAAAACTGCGCTGAAAATTATACCCCATCGACCGGTGTACATTGCAAATTGTTAAACAGCTTGACTAAAGAAAACTGATCCCTATCAAGTGTGTATGAATTCATATGTCGACTGTTTGAACCTCATTATTATTATTGGAAGTGAATGGAAGTAAAAAATACAAACCGGTTTCGTTTTCCATTATGGATAAAATTTTCTTTTCTTAAAATCACACAGTCTTATATTACAGTTATATTTAATGATGACCACGTTTCGAGCATAAATTATTACTCCTTATAATCATATCAAGGAACTACTCACACAAATTTCTTGCTTCATTTATATAAATGAGTGAAACTGATGATTAGATATTTGATTAAAAATCATTGTAGGATAATGTTCATTCAGAAATAATAATATTAGTGTTATCAATCAAATACAGTCAGATGGGAAATAAGACGAGTGTTTTTATAGTCGAAATAAGTAACTTGTTAGAATGTTATAATGCACGTGAATTGAAATAGAATTTTAAGATTATTTATTATCCTCCTCTGATTTAACTGGCAATCATATCTTTCATATCTCTGGCATTTACATTGAGTCATTTCTGGTGCATGTGTTGGGTGCGGACTCGATGAACCAGGAAGGATTCAGTAATTAATCTCTCTCCCCCTACTTATATTGCTTTTTGGAATTTTGACTCTGTTCCACCTACCCAAATGTGTGGTTGTGTTAATGCATACAGTGCGATCGCTAAGGTTTTTTCTAAATTACTCATATTCGTGGGGTCAATTATTCTAAGCCTAGCTAAATTCTTATGTTCTGACAATTTCACTATTCCCGATCTACTAGTTTGACTGACCTATGTAGTGGACTTAACTCGCAGTCATTACAAGGTATTTTGTAAATTATATTCTTTTGTTTAATTGGGTCAACCTACAGCCTCCTTTAACCTACACAGCTTGTCCTACCTGAGTGAGTTTATAGGTTTGAATGCCACCCTAATTCCTGCTTTATTGAAAATCCTACCAAATTGCACAAGTTTTATCCTTATATCAATAATGCATACGGTTTCGTTTTATTTTGTCACATAATACTATCAAAAAAGTACTTAACCGGATATATTCAGTGTCAGATTGTATTCATGAAGACCAAATTAATACTCTTTATTTGAATTGTTCTAAGAATTCAAGTTATTGATATCTAACATGGGTAAATATTCGAAAAATGGTAATCAGATGCTCAGTAAATTCGACAGAACACAGATATAAATATGCATATATATATATATATCCATAATTCAAACTTACCATTTGACCACAGAATTGGGTTCCTTTAATTTTCAATACAAATTCACACTGTCGATTCAATGAGAATACTCGTCCTGGACGATTTTCAACATATTGACTGGCCAGTTTTTCTGCAGAATATAACACTGTTTCGGTATTTGGGCGTCTTAGACAATTTGCTGCATTTGACCTGGTTATTTCACATTGATAAAAGAGGAATTAGGAAGTCATAAGTTAAAAATGAAGGATAGAGAAAATAAGGAAAAAACAAACTGAAGTAATAGATATAAGTCATAAAGCATTAAGTATATACAAAAACAAAAACGGAAAAAAGAAAAGAGATTTTCGTAAGAAGAAAAAGGATTAATTCTGAACTGATTTATCTTCAGTATGTGTTATGAAGTGATTGGTAAATGAGCTAGAAGACGCGAGTGAAATGTACACTCCACTTCTATCCATTTACTTTCTTTTTTCTTAATAAGATAAGTACGGTGTTATTTGGACCTGGAATGCATTTCTTCAATGAAAGTGGAAGGAGCTAGGGAAAGGGAGGAGTAATTTCACGATAAAAATAATTTTTTTCCTTAGTGAATTAATTACAGTTTTGTTTACTGTATCCCTGAAATCTCTGATATGCTTTCTATATATATCGAAGTATTCTATTAATTATATATATGCCTATTATGTAAATATTATTACTATTATTACTTGTATATTTAATGAGTTATATATACAGGCACATCAACTGCATTAGTGCATTTATATTTATAACTAATGTACAGTTAATTCTATTAGTAATTACTAAGCGATTTAGAAAGGCAAAGTGAAGAGGTTACTTTCGAAAGGATAATTTATTTGTCAAATGTAAGGAAATAATCTGTTTATTATGTCACCAAGACCCAATTGATAATTTAATGATAAGCTGTGAATGGAAATTCCCTACAGTAGTAATTTACTAACTAACGGATTAGAGGAGCTGAATATTACTCGCATCAAGAACTTGTGCTGATTTCATTTTAGTTGTGACAACCCTAGATGCTTATAAGCAGCATGCATAGACCAATTTCGATTATCATTATTTATTATTGTTTCCTTTAGTTCCTCTAGAGGAACATGGGTCTTCAGCCAAACGTCTCCATTGCGCGTCCGGTTCTCTATCAACGTTTTCACCTGGATCCACGTCTGCCTACACGCTTTCATCTCCTCTTCACATCACCTCCTCCATGTCACCCTCACACTGACTAACAACTCGCCATTTCCCATTCAGGTTCCAATCGAGCTATGGCCTGGAGTGTGATGTCACTCACTTGATGGTTTTCTCAGAGTATGGCCTCCAATCCACCTCCATTTCTTCCGGCATATTTGTTGCACAATTGGTTCCTGGTTGGCTCGTTCCCAATGGTAGCTTTTACTGGCTGGCGATCTAATCTTGAGCGGAGTATTGAGCGAAGACAACTGTTGATGGGGGTGTGTAGTTCGTTCGAAGTGCTCTTCGTGATACGGCGCCAAGTCTCTGATCCGCATAGGAACCAGCACTGGCTTCACATTGGAGCTGAAAATCCGGATCCTATTCTTCAGGCTGAAGGCTGTTGAATTCCACAAAGCCTTGAGAGAAATGAAAGCTTGCCTTGCTTTCCTGATCCTTGCTTTGATATCCTCGTCAGTTCCGCTTGACTAATTTTGAGAAGATAGCTAATTTCTTAGGGTTAATCGAGAGCTATTCAGACAATTAATAGAGGTAGTGAAGCCTTAAATCAAGCATGGATGTCCCACCGATGACACTGATTGGTGTTAGAAGTTGGTATTCATGTGCTGACCATTAAATCGGGTCCCAGTGGTGGCTGAATGGTATGCGACCTTGCCTTGTAACCGGAAGGTCCTGGATTCGAACCCTGGCAGTGTGTGCGTATTACCGATAATTCCCAGATAAGGATGAAACAGCTATCCAGTACTCCCAGGTTTTCAATACTTCTCCAGCTGATATCAATCTCTGGTCTAACCCGCAACCAATATAATCCCTACAAACTAATTCTTGAATATTTTAATACATTGTACAGAATTCGCAGCGTAACAAGGTATATTTATTTAGTCGCAAAATGTAAAATGCATAAAATGTTTATCTGGGGTTAGTCGATATGAAGTTGCCGTGTTTCATAAGATAGTTTCTACCATTAGAATCTGGTTATTAGAGCAGAAATGAAAAATTACCCTGTGATTAGAATCAAAACATTTGAATGCAGTTCACTAGTCGCAGGAAGATATATATATATATATATACATTAGTTGGAGGATTTTATCATGATCTGACAACAGTTAGAGAACCATTGGAAAACCATCTGGGAATACTGGACACCTGTTTTGTCAGCCTAGTTTGGACTCTTCAGAGGTACGCACCTACCGCAGGGGTTCGAACCCAGGACTTTCTTGTTACTAGGCGACCTCGTTGAGAAATATACTCTTGAAATTTAACACTTGCCGATGATCTTAAGTTCTATAAAATATGAATTTTTTATGGATACTTTCGTGTGAATTCAACAGGATCTACTTCTGACTGTATCGTTTATTTTATTGCATATAACACATTGCAGTTTATTAGTCTTCATCTGCAATACAAAGTTGTCTGGTGTTAACCGATACGATTACCACCTGTTCCACTTTTGTCAAAAGGCATGAAATGAATACGTGGATAGAGAAAGTTGATCAATATTTTCCCAAGAGTTTATTTTCACATGATGACAACAGGAAGACACCTTTTTGGAAGATTATTTCACCCACTGAATAATCTATAGTTTCTAGGATCTGTGGAATAGAATTATTGTACTTTGTGCATTCGCTGAAAAATTATCCCTAGATTTTCACGAAACAGCTGTTATTATTTTTAAAACTTTATGAAGACACATAAAAATTGGCATTGAATACCCAAACCTTTCGGTTTAAATTTACATATATATATATATTTGAATAAGGCATTAAGAAGACAAATTCCACGAGATGATATAGTCATTTAGGAGTTTCTTTGCAACCGCTTTACAACTAACATGTTTGACAATAATGAAATAAAGTTCATGACAATACTCAATTACATAAAAAATCTCGAAAAGACAGCATCTCTACCAAACAAAGTTATCTTTATTACCCTACCATTCAAGGGCGCCCAGATTATACAGTTGACAGCTCAAAGACTTCGGTCAGCCATCAAACGCACATTCTATGCCGCATCTATTTTTCTCATTTGCCGAACATTTTCGATCCCTGTACCTACGATTAAAGGACGAAATTCTATGTACTCTACTTCAAACTGTATCTACAAGTTCACCTGCAGTTGCGGTGACACCTATATAGGTAGAACTAATAGAATGTTCCAATTTCATCGAAAAGAACATGTTCCAAAATGGCTACTATATCATATAGAAAATCCCAACGCGATTAATCTGAATAGAAATCTAGCATCATCATCCATTGCGAAGCACTTATTAATGTCAGGCCACAAAATCAATATTATTGACTGTTTCACAATTATTTCACATGATTCTAATTCAAGGTTATTGAAGGTGATGGGAGCACTTTGGATTAATCACATACAGCCTAAATGATGTGTGTACAAAGCACAACAGACTTCCACCTTCGCCTACCATGGACAACATGAACTATCTAAATATGATTGGTCATTAGTATGTACTTTTGTTTTTATTTAACTGAGTAATTGTCATGAACTTTATTTTATTATTGTTAACCATGTTAGTTGTAAAGCGGGTGTAAAGATACTACGAAATGACGATATCATCTTGCGAAATTTGTCTTCTTAATGCCTTATTCAAATTTATCAAAGGAACTGAATGTTTTAATATATATATGTTTGAAAAGTGATCTACATTTCAAGTCAAAATAATAAATTTGTCTTTTCTTTAACTGACTGATTGACTTACTCTATGAATGTATGTATCGCTTGACGACTACACGCGGACCATCTTAGAGGGAAGTTGTCGAAGTACAATGTACCAGACATTATTGTATCTCTTTTAATAAATTCGTATTGATGAACATCTGGATTCCAGTAACTCTCTCTATAATCCCAGCCGTCTCCAGCTTGATGATATGGATAAGTGCCCAGCTTCAATTCATGTGTACTAGTCCATGGTGTTTCCATGTTTCGATTTCGTTCTTCTAATCCACAATCTGAGTTCAACTCGAAATCATGTTTAGCACCCAGTCTAAACAAATAAGATAAAGAAAAAAGTAAAATGGATGACAAAATTCTGAGTATTGGAATACCAACCTCATATCTGAAAGAGTTGTTAAAAAAGGTGCACACTCAACGTACAATTTACATTCAACGACGTCATCTATAGACAGAAAGATTGCTAGGGGCTCTCCCTTTGGCCAGCCTGGAAAACAGCATCTTAAAATCAACAATAGACAAATTGTTACTGCACAAGAGATATGTCGATGATACTTTTTTAGTTTGTCAGGATGATTCTGATTTAAATTGCATCTTACAGGAGATTAATAACTGCCATCCTTCAATTAAATTTACAGTGGAAGCTGAAAATGAACCAAAGATTCCATTCTTGGCAGTCGAATTGGCAAGAAGAGATGACGGAACTCTGATAAGATCAGTCTATAGAAATGGAATGGCAAACTGACAAACTTCTACAGTTGGATATCTGTCAGCCGTAAAAGAGCTCTTATTATCTCGCTAGCCCACCGCACCAGAAGAATTTGTAGCGATGGCTGTTTAGAAGAAGAGCTCCTATTTCTCAAAAACATCCCATCGCGTTTCGTTGAGAAGAACATGAAACCAAGACCAAAAAGAGAAGAATACACTTCAGTGTCAAAGAAAACACTTTATTTGAACCTAGAATTCAAGGGAGACCTAGCAGCAGATATCCTTAAAAGGAGAATCTGCAATTCCCTGAAGAATACTTTTCCTGTAGCAACTCTAAGAGTGATATTTTCCAGCCTTATACTACTTCGGAGCAACGGAAAGGACAAACTTCCACATATGACCACTTCAATGTGCATATATCAGTTCACCTGCTCGTGCACAGCTGGGTACATAGGTCGTTCTATGTAAGTCTTATCAAAACGTGTTAGAGAACATCATCCAGCATGGCTGCAAAGAGGAGGCACTGGTTCAATCAGAAGCGCCACAAATGAACACCTCGTCAATACCTGTCACAACATCTCAACTGACTCATCATTCAGAGTCATTTACAAAGTAAACAAAAATCTATCAAAGGCAGTGTGTTTTCAACATCTTTGTACTGCGGAAGCTCTCGGCATATGCATCGAAAAGTAGGAGCTGTGTGCTCGAATGAAACTAGTCTAGCCTTTACAACTACCATAGACCTAGTTCAGTATATTCTCTCAGCCTTCGGTTTTTTGCTTTGTTCGCTGTGTGTGTGTAGTTTTCTCTCTTTGTCTTCATTCAATTCATCCCATTTTTTACAGATATAAGAACAGTTATTTTAATTTTGATTCCATGCTCCTTCTGCTCATACTTGTAATTCATTTAGAATAACTATTTTACAATTGTATTCTAATCCTGTGTAATTTTTTGTTTCTATGCCTCTTGTAATTCATATCAAGTTGAAAATAATTGTCACCTTTTACTTGCCTTTAAAACTATTTCTCCAGTTACCAGATATTAATTTTGCGAACGTTGTAACTGTTTTCTAATCCTATGCAATCTTGTCTCTAAGTCCGTTATACTCTATATATTCGTACCTTCAAACTTTCGTATCAAGGTAAAAATTATTATCTCCTTCGTTACTACGTGGAATTAAATAAATAATAATTGTATCCACGTAAACTAATGTATATAAATGCTACTGTACAGGTGCTTTTGAGAATGAAATAGCCGAAAAGATATCTTTCTTGAACTTCTTGTTCTTTTCCCTGTAATGTGTGCGTCGATGGCATAGCGGTTGAGACTCTCGCCGACCATGCACATGGTCCAGGGTTCCATCGCCTGCCAATGATATTAATGGTCAACCTGCAAAATATGGGCTACCAATATCACATTCTGAAAATCTCATACCTGTACCAAAAGTACTGTGCGGTTTCAAGGTATAATCAAAATTTAAAAAAATTGATGCGTCGATGCGTATTTTTCACGATTTGAAAATTTATTACAGTGTAGAGTTCCAAACTATTGATGAACATTCTAAGCAGAATTTACAGAGATACATTTCAGGATAGTTCAGTCTAGAAGTTCAAAGAGCAAATATCTTTTAGAATATAGTCATTTATTTAGGTTGAAAAGTTCTTGACATAGTATGTACGATTCTGTAAACATTTGTTGGGAGTAGTTGCTTTAAAATTCATTATGATTTACCCCACAGGAATGCGTTTTCCTAGCGATTGGAAATGAGTGATGTAGGTGTTATTGAACGAATTACAGAAACCTGCCAACCTTTCAACTATTACCTTGATTTTTAAAGTAATTGAGCTTTTATCTTAACGAAGTAATGCTGAGTGAATTTTCATGTCTCCTCCTTCCGTAACTTTGTCGCTGGAATTTGAAAAGATTATGTTGTACTAGGAAGGAACTCAATTTAGCGAAGAAACTTGAGAAATGGTATTTCAGAAAATCCTTCGATTTGCTTGAAGAAAAATACAATCCAGGTCCAATAATTCCTAGAAATATGAGAATACCTATAGAATATGTGGTTATATTCTAGCTTCTAGTCGCTTTTAGTAGCATGCTCATTTTCAAAATCCGTCTTAAAATAAGCAAATCCTAATTAGTGTGACATCCACTACTGGTAAGATTTATCAGCAGTATATAAAGAGACGTTCATCGGCATAAATATCAAATAGGGGAGAGATAGATTTGACGTCAAAGAGAGAGAGAAAATGATTCCTCATTGTAGCAAAACATGGGAGACACGAAAAAAAAACAAATAAACACAATAGGAAGAGCAGAAGTAGCAAAACACGGAAGGCCTGTGCAAATGGCGATTTGCAGGTAATGTGTACATTGATACAAGTATAAAACTTGGGCACTGTGGTAGAGTGTAACTCCATTATGGATACGATTTCATTTTGATAAATCACACAGTGTTATACAGTAATATTAAGCGATGACGTTTCGAGCACAAATTATTGCTCATAATCATATCAAGGTACTCACACAACTTCTTTTCTTCATTTATATACATGTGTGAAATTGACTGGATATTTGAATAAAAATCAATGTGGGATAATGTACATTCAGCAATAATATTAGTGTTATCAATCAAATACAATCAGATGGGAAATAAGACGAATGTTCTTATAGTTATGATAAGTAATTTGTTAGAATGTTGTGATTTGCTTGAATTGAAATAGAATTTTAAGAATATTTATTATCCTCCTTTGATTTGACTGGTGGTAATAATATCTTCAATATTTCTGGTATTTGCATTGAGTCATTTCTGTTGTATGTGTTGGGTGTAGACTCAATGAACAAGAATTCAGTAATCAGCTCTCTCCCTCTCCACCTGCCTATATTACTTCTTAGAATCTTAACCCTCTCTCACCCTACTGTGTGGTTTTGTGTTAATGCATGTAGTGCAATTGCTGAGCTTTTTTCTAAATTACTCATCTGTCCTCGTGGGATCAATCATTCTAACCTTAACGAAATTCTTATGTTCTGACAATCTGATTACCCCCAATCTACTAGTTTAACGCATATAGTTGACCTCACAGTCACTACAAGATATTTCGTAAATTATATTATTTTGTTTAATTGGGTTCACCGCGTCTTTCAGCCCTCATAGCTTGTCCTAACTGAGTGAGTTTGTAGGTTTGAATGGCACCCTAATTCCTGCTTTATTACGAATCCTACGTAGAACCACAGATGTCCCCTCCTAGTATGGTATAACAGTAGATGACGTATATTCTTCCTTATTTATGTTATCATCACTAGTTTCACCATCATTTTTAATTTGCTTTTGGTCTTTACTGATCTTCCTAAGACATTTTATAGAATAGTTATTTAACACCAACGCCTCTTCTATCTGTTTTATTTCATCAATTAGGTCTTTTCTTATACTACTTGGTGCTACTGCTCGGTTTGTTAGACATTTAACTAAGCCTGCCCTAACAGATAACGGATGAGATGAGTTAAAGTCTATCTATTATCTATATCAGTTAATAGTACTGTATAACACTGTGTGATTTATAAAAATAAAATCTTATCCATAATGGAATGTCTACATGTGTGTGCGTTATATAGAGATACCAAATTTCAGATGAACATTTCTTTAAGAAGTCTCTTGTCTTCTGCCTTTACATTAGTAGTTATATATGTATTTTCATATATGCTTCGTAGTTCATATTAATAATTATAAGGATTATTTTGAACCAAAGGCGATAATATTTGTTCGTTCACTCTATTTTTCAGGGAAAGGTTGTCTGTGGTATGTATCCTAGTGTTAAATAGTATCAGAATATGTGAGGAATCAATGATGCACTGACTGAAACTTGTGTCCTCACTTGGTGATTTCCACTAGCATATGCTAACGACAAGATGCAGAGAAGAGTCCCGCTAATTAGGAGTATGTGCGATGAGGGCGCTATCATTAGGTATAAAAGGAGGATTAAAGCTGCCTAATGGATTAAGATCTGTTACATAGTTAGACTGTCATCACATATGACAAACTTTATTGATCTGCTTTTTTAAACCACTTGTGTTCTGAGTGGCTTCAAGCTATAGCTATGAGGTTCCAGTAACAAGGTTGTTATTTGCAAGGTGAACTTGCTGGCTTTACACCAACCTTCCATCCCTTGGAGGACAACTAATGTCTTGGCGATGTTAATAATAATAATAATAATCACTTTATTCCACAACAATAACAATTTACTGCATGGAATTTTCAGCGTTTCATTTTACATATTGCATTGGTTTAGCTCTTTTTATAATTATATAAATGTATGAAATGTTAAAAATATTGATAATTAATAAGAAAAAATAAAAACCCCAACAAAATCACACCATTTCTAGGTCATGGTGAAATAATAGATAAATAATATAACAAATCACACATGCAATAATATGCATCATTGCATTTTATAGATTAGTTAATGATTTAAAAGATGTAAAAGTTCTTTTCTGATATTCGTCTCTTCACACAATACTCGTGCCAAATATGGTACGGTCGAATTTTTATATTTTGTAGTACGAGCATAAATGTTTATGAAATTTCTTCTTCTACCCAAAGAGATACAAGGAAACAATTGTGAATAAAGAGGATGTTCACTATCAAACAAAATAACTTTAGCTAAGTGTTTACAAGAATTCATGTGCCTGTTGACAACAGTGTCGGTTAGTTGAGTCAAATGGATAGCACTGACCTCATTTAAAGCCTTCAATGTCCGTAGTATTATGTGGTCTTTCATGAGTAGCCCAGGGAAGAATAATGGAGAACAATAAAGAATGATGGGCAAAACACATGAATCATTAATTGTATGAGAAGAGATTGGGTTATACCTGAGTGCCTCAACTTCTTTATGTAATAAGTCAGACAGAAAATCTTTTTAGAAACTATAAGAATATGAGACGACCAGCAAAGGTTTGAAGAGAAACTAATGCCAAGATAAGAGACACTTGACTTACTCTCTATCATGTTACCATCAATATTACAACAATCATGAGATTGGATCAATCCATGCATGTCTTTTTCACTTCAAGAGTTGCGTCGAGTGGGGATCAAGCCCTGGATCACATGTTTATTTAGTGAATATTCTACAAATAAACCATAGATGCTGCCGAAGTAGTTACAGAGTATTGAATTACGACTCATTCACACAATTTGTCAGGAGGTTACTCGCTTCACGTTAGCTTTCAGAAAAGATCAGTGTGAAAAGTGGCCTAAATTTAAAGGTGCAATCAGTTGCATCTATACTTTGAATTTGAGTTTGATGTATCGATTCACCTTTATCCTCTAAACAAGTAACTTCACATGTGATATGCTGGAACAAAAGGTGCTTCTGGAATTGCTGTGCCTAAGACGATTTACCAATCATAGGGTCTTTTAATCCTTATGGTTTTCAATAGTTTTCAGGTGACAATTACAGAGTGAAAACAGAATGATAAACTCTATATGGTATATACTGTTATACTTTTGTTTTTACCCCATGACTGGAAAAATTTGTTTGCTCATGCTTACACTGTAACCACTGACGAAAATTATTTTACAACAAAGAACATTGTAGTCAATGCCGGAGACAGAAATTCATCCCACGATGCAAAAAGTGAATTAGTAGGATCTGCTTTTCGGCATTTACAGATTCAAATTTCAATCTCCCCAAAATTAAAGGCGCACCATATTGCTGAGTGCCTACAAA